TGAGTTAATGATCGCACCTGTACGTTCCTTTCTCTCTGCCCGGAACATCGTCGACATTCATTCGGCAGCTGTAGCGCACATATATAGATGTACATGTATGTATATATATATATATATATGTATATATATATATATATATATATATAAAAGAGACCAAATGTACGTATCCCCCCGTGCGCTGGTGTGCCGATGTACATATGTGCGTGTACCTACAGGTGAAACGTATGATCGCACGAGGCTTCCGTTCCTCCCTTTCGTTCTTCTCCCGCGAGTTTCTTGCCTTTGTTGCGATTTTTCATCTCCTTTAATTCTTCAGCGACACGAGCGCTGTATCCGATAATTGCTCCAATTGCTTTATATGCACGTCCCGATAACATCGACGGGAGAACGAGCCACCTCGTGTTGCGCAACTCCTGTCAGAATAATAATTCTCCGATGTTACAATGTGGTAATTCTTTTCGACCGTGTAGCGCTTAATGAATTTGGTCGCTGTGATTAGTCGATCATTCGCGGCGAATTATATGAAGAGACCCTTTAAATCGTCGCGGAACGCAGAGGTCTAACTTAACACTTTCAGCCATCTGCCTCATCTTGTCGGGCATATGCTACAGGGATAACGTCAAAAATAATCCAAAACAGGCGCACGAGAGAGAGAGAGAGAGAGAGAGAGAGAAAGAAAGAACGAGATAGTAGAGAAGAAGAACCGGGCTCTATAACTCCTCGACACTCGCTACCCGGCTGTCGGCAGGAGGAGAGTCACCTGTTGATTTCCTTCAAATCAAAATAATATCACGATGGCTGTGTGTATTCTCGATAGTTCTCGAATTTTCCCGAGGAAACATAAATATCACATGTGGCAGGTGAATAATATTACGAAATTTTTATTGCGGGCTTAACATTTTAATTCTTCGTCAGTATTGAATTAACAGAAAGATATACGTGTATATATAAGTAGACGGATTTCCTGTTTTTTTTTTTTTTTTTTTTTTTTTTTTATATAAACACCTTACGTCATTTCTTGTGTCGTATTACTGTCAATTAAGCTCTTTTGATAACGTTAATACTGTGCGCTATAAAAACCATTTCAGACGTTCTTCTCTTTACTTTTACAAACTTTAATAGCTTTTTATTTCTTTTTACTGATTCTGGGATAAGAATCACTTGTTTCACACAGGGCGTTCCCGTAATATAATTGTATTCATATTAATTCGTTCCCTGTTAAAAGCCGCACTGATTTCCGCAAGCGATTTCGCTTAATCGCTTCCAGATTCCATTGTGACTATTGGTGGAACCCCCCGATCTCTCGTGACTCTGTGACTGTGACCGCGGGGGTGCAGCGGACGGTATATAGCAAGAACGACAGGACGGTCTCTCAGGTTCTGATTTATGAACGAAATCTCGAGTAAACGCTCGTTTCCGCGCTCTGCCGGGCGTGAAATGACTTTGGGCGAGTTCTCACTGCAACAGGGGGGCATTCGCGACGCGACAGCCGAGCCGACTGTGCGTGCAGTTCCGGTTCTCGTGGACCGGAAGTGTCGACTCGTTTCGTCCGATATATAAGATTCATAATTTCATTTATAGCATAATTTCTAATACCGAGAAAATTACAAAAATATTAAAAAGTGCTAGATAGAGAAGGAATTCTTTTATTGTTTTTTGAAAATTAACAATTTTACTATTCTAATAGTTTCGAACTTACAAGTTCCGTTGTGGAAATTGAAGATTCATATCTTATAGCTGTATGCGATATTGAAAGGCAAAATTACAGTACACAAATGTACCGGCGATCAGCAGTATAATCGAACGACCGCCGAAAAAGGAAGCTAATGACGCGTCGACCGTTTTATTATCGGCGCATTTAAACGCGTTTTACGCCTGTGTCGAGCAAGATAATTCTTCGGCCGGCGTAACGAGAAATTACGTGCCGCTTTGCCAACGACTGTTCGGAGCCGGAAGCTCGTTCCCGTCAGAATCGACGACATTTTCTCCGGGATCGCTGCGTCATCGCGCCGTGAAACACGGCTGATGACTTCGAAAACGTCAAAATTTTACACGCCGATTTTTGTCTACTGTAAAAAAACAAAAATTAAATTAAATTCAAAATTATTAATTATGATTCCGGGAACACACAAGATCGACACTTGATGATTTCCTGACGTGTTCTCACTTCGCTAAGTCAGAATAATATCCATTCGAGATTAGTGTGCGATACTGTAGGCAGTGCTTATTTAAATTTTTGTATAGCGTCTGACAGTTGTTTCGCTGAACACAATTAGATTTAGAGAAAAACAACGTCACTTATTTCCACTATCTAATATTTTCTACCTTCCTTTTCCCTGATCGCTTGTTTTCAACGTCGCAGTTGTTCGTGCTTACGTAAAGATAGCAGCGAACCACTTACCAAGGCGAGGTCGAGGGTCGTCTTATAAATTAAGCTTTTATTGCAGTCGGCTTCATCGCCGTTGCAGACGAAAAGCTTTTTATTCGTTCGATACAAGTTCCCCCTTCTGCCTTTGATTTAACGAAAGCGGCGGTGGGAGAAGAAGAAAGCGAAACGACTAAAAGGCGTCAAAGAAGACCAAGGAGAATCTTCAGTGAGAAAGGGAGAGATATAAACGGAGGCGGAGAAAAAGATAGAATAAGAAGAAGAAAGAGAGAGAGAGAGAGAGGGAGGGAGAGACCGTCTCTTATCTGCTTCCCCATGATTTTTGCTAATTAACTTCGCCGCGGGCACCGCTTCATTTGTGTTGGACGAAGAAAAGAGATTAGCTGCTTGCTCCCGAAAGATACCGATGATGAACCGTTCGAGAGAGAGATAGACGGATTTCCATGCGACACTTAAATCGACATCAATCATTTTCAAATTAATCGTTATTTATCATACGATTTGCTGGATCACATTTATCTCGAAAACTATATTTTACAATGTTCAATTTTATTCTTCTTCAAAGAGAGTTTTATTAAAGTGCATGTAAGAGTATTTCCGATTCGCACGCTGTATCAATATTTTCATTTGCAAAACATGAAAAATCCGCACATCCTTGAACGTTTCAACGGGATTGTCGAGCGAAAGCTACATCCCTGTGATTTACGTACTCTCGGCGGGAGTATCGCATGCCGTGTTTATAATTCGAATTTATCGTTCTCGCTTCTGATATAAACAGTCAGGTCAGTTCTCCTCTTCTCGTCTTCATGCGCTAAAAGAAAAAAAGATCGTCTACAACACGCAGCGAACATACACAGAGATACAAGAAGCTGATACGTACAAGTGACGGTCGTATCGTCGACATATTTACAAATGTCTAACGAATAACGCGGCGTATACCGGCAATTAGTGGACATGGTCGCGATAGACGCATGGTGAAGAAAAAAAATGCGATAAATATGTGACACGCGATATGACAATGATAGCGTGGCTCTTACGCAGCGAGATGAGTAGGTACGCGAGTACCAACATAATAACAGAAGTATTTCAAGCGTTCACACGTTTAATCCACGTTTCATCGAGATGCGCAGATTTCTCATACAATTAGTCGAGCACGTCACGCGCTCTGCGAAAAACAAACTCATTACGGAAGGAAAAACGTCATTAAAAAATCATCATCGAAATTATTTAAAGTGGCATCTTTTACTCGTGCAAAAAGAATTACGTCAATTGCGAACTGTGTGACACAAGTACTTGAATTGTCAGAGTTTATTGTTATGATTACGCTGAACACTTCGATTTTTCTTTGCTTGCGTCTTGCGGATAACACGCGCGAGTAATTAGCAAAGAAAACATTTTGATTTAAATTGTCTAAGTTTTTATAGCAAAAATAAATTCGATTTAAAAATAAAAATCACGTTGCTCCTTCTTCCGTGACTCGCCGGCCATATCTTTTGATTACAGAGACTATGCCGCGTCAGGTGTGTGTTAAGTCTGCGCGGTCTCTGCAGTCACATTGTAGATTTAATGATCGGTATAATTGACGTCACGATGTGCACGCACGGGTGTCTAAGTTGTTGGAACGACGAACGCGTTAAAGAGAAAAGAAGAGGGGAGTTTTATCTGAACGGCGGAAAAGTGGCGAGAGGAAACGCCGATTTTTCACCGAAGGGAAATTCTCTCGCTCGCGGTTCAAAGGTCTGCTGCTGATAATGCCACTCGCTTGACTGATATCTATTATCTCTAGTTGAGAGATAACAGCGCGTCTCGCTTATATTTACGTTCAAAATAGGCGCGTGTCTCGGCGCTCGCATGGATACACTTTTGTGCGCTATCGCATTTTTCTTTCGCGCAAAAAGACAAGAACAAGACTCTCGACGTCTAGACTAATGTAGTTTCTTTGATATATGTATGTCATGGGGATGAGCGTCGTTTTATCAGTTTTATTTATTTAATTGTTAAATACGTGTATATATTCTGTTAAAAGCAAAATTTTGACATTTTTGAAATCAGTTTTATCTATCGCGTTCTCTTTATATATAAATCCTGATTTGATCGTAGAATTTTTTTTCTGAAATCAGAGATTCGCGAATTCAGCAATTCATAAACTATAACACATAAAATTACTATACATTTTTAATTTTAACTTTAATTTTACAGTGCAAAAAGAAACACGGTTCTTTACCGATTAGTGTAATTTCGATGATAACTTACTATTAACTGATAATATTTTTAGATGTATAGTTGTTGAGCTTTTACCACCTTATAGTAAATCAGGTATGCCAGAGCGCATGCTGCAAAAATACAGCGCTGCCGCGCTCTATTATGCCGACAAAACGATATCACGGTGTGCTCTTCCAATAAATAAGAAATATTATATATATAATTTATTATAAACGTAAGGAAAATAATTATTTAAAAAAAAAAAAAAAGAAAATGTCTCCATTTTCAAAACCTATGCGAATAAAGCTCGATTTTGCCAAAATTAATTTTTTACCTCATAAACTGCGTTTGCTGCAAACAAAAGACATGGTTCTGTTTCGCGCTATGTTCACAGAGTGCGGTTCTAATCTGTTTACACATCCTGACCTGTTAGGTTTACATCCTGACTGATTAGGTTCACATTTTGATTGGTTAAGTTCACATTCTGATTAGTTAGATTCATATTCTGACCGGTTAGATTCACATTCTGACCAATCAGGATGTGAACCTAAGTTAGATGATAAGATATAGATTATGAGAAAGATATGTCAAAACAGATGACTAATAAGAATAAATATATGCAAAATCTGCTTAACAAATCAAAATTCAAATTGCCAGCATTCAACAAAATTAAAAAAAAATAAGATAAAAAAATTATAGAGATTGTAATCATGCAGAAAAAAGAAAATACATATAGTTTTTGAAATCTGAATAATTATAAAGCGACAAACAAGAAAGTATAACTAATGTCATTGTCTTTTCCTGAAGAAAAAGGAAAGTACATATTTGACCAGCAAAAGTTCTTTCATCAAGTAAATCATAACTTTATCTATAATAAAATAGACATTGATTGTGAACAAGCATAATCACAAAGATCAAGAGTAAGACGTTTTAATAAAGATGAGAACAAAAATGTTTATTTTCGTCGTATAAGTGTACATAAATGCGCAATAAACAAACGTAAACGTTTATAAAGCGGTACTTTTTTAGACTCTATGTGTGTTTCAGAGTCTAGATGTAGTTTTGCTAAAGTTAAAAATACCTCATCCATAGACGGCTGAGTAACAGAAAAGTCCGTTATCCACACGTATTTTTGTCTTAACTTTTCAAGCTTATCAAATACGTAACTATGAGCAATATCACTCTCCAACTCGTATTTGAGAACACCCTGACAAAATATCGGATACAAAAAAATTACATTTTTTATATGAATTAAAATTTGTACTTGTAATCTAAAATTGTGTTTGCGCATATTCAACATTTTTTATTGCACATTACTTCTTTTATTTAATAATCTTAATTTATTTAATATTAAAGATATATGATACATAAATTCTTCACTTACCAAATAACTATCTTTAATTTTAAACTTTATGTCTGGAAAAGTCTCGTTAATAATTGTTTTGAATTTTTCAAAATGTGCAATTTGAAATCCCGGTATTATTTTGATAATCAAGATAAAGTTGCGACCGTGTTTTGCCCTTAAATCTTCGCAACATCCAATTGCAGTAAACTGGCCGTTACTCAATATTCCGACGCGCAGACACATTGCTTCTGCTTCTGGAATACTAAAATTGCAAGAATTAAATTCGTATCTCAAGTATAAGTCTTTCTTACACCAACCTGTGTGTAGTAATCATTATAGATTGTCCCATGTTGCGCATTTGATGCAATACTTCGCAAAGAGCGTGTCTGGTCATTATGTCAATTCCGGTGGTAGGTTCATCCATAAATATCATCGGCAAATCGCCGATTAGGCTTTGCAGTATACAAAATTTTCTCTGAATTCCCCAGGAACAATGAGAAATTTTTAAATTTTCAAAGTCCAACATATCTGTGAAAGGTTCCGCGTTATTTATTCAAAATAAGAGAGAAAATAATTATCTGATGATTTTAAAAAACAATATTAACGACAAGATTTAAATTTTCACTGTTTCTAGTATTACCCAGCACATCCAACCACTTATCTACTTCTTCATTAATAGAATTATACGGAACGCCACGTAGTGCCGCATGAAGTTGCAACATTTGTCTTCCCGTCATAAAATCGCTCAATCCGTCGGTTTGTGGACAGTATCCTATCATACCTAGAAACTTAATAGTGTATTCAATATAAGAAGATTAAAAAATAAATATAAAATAAATGAAAAATGTACACATATATATGTTAAATTAAAAGATATGTAATAAGGAAAAATAGGTATAAAATAGTATAAAATAAGGAATAAACAAGTAAAAGTATATCTATAATACCGATTGTTCTAACTCACTATGTCTTGACTTTTGTTAAACTCATAATCGTATAACACCGCTCTGCCAGCGGTTATTTTTGTGTGACTCGTTAGCATATTATATATCGTCGATTTTCCTGCACCATTAAATCCCAACAGACCAAAACACTCTTGATTAAAGATCTAAGTAAAATGATCTATGTAATTAAAAGAAGACGCCTGCTACATTGTTAAAAGACAGAAAGATAAAATCAAGAGAACTCAATTGTCTTACATTAAAACTGACACCTTGAACTACAGCTTTTCCACTGTACTCTTTTCTTAAATTTTGAACAACAAGGGCAACTTGTTGTGGAAGCATTTTTGTTTTATCATAATCTGTTTATAAAAAAAAACGGGAAAAGTAAGGTAGTTCGAAAGATATAGATATTCTTTTATAAAAAGATATTTACAGTTAAAGTTCTTAAGATTTTAAATAAGTATGTGCAAAATATAAAGTAACTGAAATTAATACAAAAACTTTGCAAGAATATTTCAACAGGATTCTCTAACACTCTCTTTTATTTAAGAATATTTTATTTTTATATTAATTTTTTACGTTTTATGTTTTTTTCAACTTGCTTTCTTTCTTCCATTACTTCCGGCTCTACATTATTGTTATCTCTAATAGGAAACTTTGAGTTGTTGCACCACTGTCTACGATTTTTTGCTTCAAAAATATTCACTATTATAAGAAGAGCGATCGATTGAGATATCATTAAAAGTATGTCGTCTATGACCGAATGATAGTATTCAGAGCCGGATTGTTTGATTAACATTACGTTTATCTGCTTATAGTAATGTTTGTTTTTCCTGTTTTCTGAAATTTGAATTCACATCAATTAGAATTGATGTATAACTTGATCAATTACGATAAAAATAAACTGTATGTATGTAAATTTATTACGACAACAAGGATCTTCAATGTAAAACTCCGTGTCACACATATTGAAGTAGCTGCACTGTCTGTTATATAAACTTAGCATAATGTAATTGCTCAAAGCGCAAACTAAAACATACGGGGGAAATATATGTATTAGAGCCTCGACTATGTATCTTCCAGTGCCGCTAACTACGCGAAGCGTCAATGGAAATATTAGAGAGCTGTTCACCAATAGTACTGCAAAACATATTCTATATTAAACAAAATGTATTTCATAATAAATATAATCTTAAAAATATGACTATTTCTTATATTTATTAAGTTTTAAATTGCGTGTACATATTTTTTCCGACTATAAAAAATTGATTAACAGTATATTAAAAAATGAGTAAACTTGCAAAAACACTGACCAACAATAATGTTAATTAGTATCACAACTAGATACACGTTCTCTGATTTTCTTGTGAAAAGTTGTATGCAATAGCCTAACGGAATGGCATATCCTCCGTAACACAAAAATATCATCAGCACTTGAACTTAAGATACGAAAAAAGTTTTTTTTTTTAGAAAAATTGACAATACACAGGGATATATAAATTCGTCGTTAATCGTAAAATGAATCATGTTACCATTTTCTAAACTTGATGAATGCAATGTGTGTCTATAGACGATTAGAATCGCAACTCCCAAAACTATTATGCCGAGCGCATATAACAAGAAATCAATGATATACATCGTGAACCAGTAGATCCGCGTGGACATGCCAATCGCATTGGTCTGCAGCAGTTTTGAAAGCGTATTCCGTTCACGTATCCCCATGTCAATGGAAGGTAGAAGAAGAAACAAAGTTATCACTATGGCGGCGTTTTCCCAATTCCGCACACTGCGCGGATGGACCAGCAAATGTTGCCACTGTGTTGAGCGTATTGTGTTTTTAAATATTCTCTTATACATCTTATATATAAAAGATTTAAAAAAAAAAAGATTTTATTGTACATGAAATGTATATTTTCTAATTTAAATTAATTTACTCTGCTTTCGAAGCTAACGCAATATTTTTATTAATTAATTTAATTGAGAAAATTCTACCTGTTGTGGATTTACCAACGGTCGACTCGTTAGCTTGATCCAACAGTCCGAGCCACAGTGATAACGCAGCAACGCGTTGTGCAGCAGATTTAACGCAATCGGCCCACTGTGCACCGCGGTGGGCGAATGCATGAGTTGCACACGTCCGTCTGCGTATATGTCAACGGACATCACGTAACGATCCCTAAACTATCACGAAATGTGATATAAATAAAAGTGCAAAAAAAGTCAATGCGTTATCTCTGTAGAGTACCTCTATTGAGTGCAAATCAGGATGAGTCATAATATCGGTGGCTGTGATGTGCTTTGAAACGTGATAGTTTTGTCTTTCACTATACGCTTGACCAGTAGTATACAATGTAACAAGAAAGTCTTTTGCGGATTTGTCATCGACTGCGTAGTACAGTACATGGAGATTGTTGTCCATATATTTTGTGAGATTCATTACCGTCTCGCTATAAAGTCATCGAGTATAACTAATATATTTATTTTATTTATTTTAACTAAAGTTTCATCTTGATATTAGACAATAGTGAAGCTATCGCAAAATAATATAATGGACGCGCGCCATTAAAAACAACTAAAAGATCTTAATTAACTCTTTCGCGTCTAACGCCGTCATTTGCAAAAAATCATTTACAAAAATTAACGCCGATTGGATAACATATATTTGTCTGTTTTTCGGCAAAAAATGAAATAACTTACGTTCTATCAAAAAGCTCAAAACTGCTCAATTCACCAATCATCGTGGTCAAAGTAAGAGTAACGATCGCTAATATCATCTGAAACAATCTTCATTATTTAAATATCGATATGACGTCTCTATTCTCGCGTTTTATCTCGCAGGAAGAGAAGAAGTCTTACTGAAAACGTGTATATTTTCCAGGCCGAAATAATGTGCAGTAATTTTTTGCATAACATCGCGAGAATTTGCTGTCGCCATAAAACCTTGCCAGTCAAGCGTTTCCATTGTTTAGCTATAATGTTAATATACTTGATTATAAAATCTATGTTAATATACTTGCTCTATGTTAATATACTTGATTATAAAAAACGTATTATAAAGAAATATTTTACACAAGAAGAAAAGAGCGTTCGAAAAAGTTGCTTTTAAAATAAAACGATAGTTTTCTGGTTCCTGTTTAACATGTTTATTCATTTAACTGGTTCGGTTTGATCGAGACAAAAAACGAGAAAAAAAGTCTGCTATATTGGAATTTACCTCTTCGTAGCAAATGTCGTCGTCTCTCTTGGACAACAAGTTCGTACTTGTTGCTAGGTAATTTTACACATCGTTCTTTGAACTGGCTTTCCAAGCCTATTCTAAATTCAGAATAATTAGTATAATAAGACATTGAAGTATTTTTAAAAGATTGAGTCGTAAAACTTAACATCATTTTGAAAAAACGATTATTTTTCAGCAACATTGCGGTTTGAAAGTAAGATTAGTTTAAAGCATAATTATATAAGGTTTAATTATTCGCACCTGAGAAATTGACCCTCGATGCTTGCCGCACTTAACGCAACCGATACGATTCTCAGCTCTTCCTTATTGGATTCGAGATGTCGGAGCAATTTAGTAAATCGGCTGCTTCTTGGTACGTCGAATCTTATCACTAGACCCATCATACCACGCAGAGTGATTGGATCTGCAGAAAATTCTTGTATTTCCGCGCGAATTCTCTCCACATTACAATCTTCTTGCACCAACAGACTTAAGACATAACCGATTTCTGTCAAGTTTAGAAATTCAATTAACATAGAGAAAATTGTTTACCGCGTTTTAAGTGTGCTCTAAAAGATTTATTTAATTTTTTTATAATCTATCTTTCTCATTTCTATAAACTTTGAATTTCACCGTATCGACGATTCAAATACATCTTCGACCCGTAACATTCGATCTTTCCGTTCGCAATAATCATAATTCTGTCGGCAAGCAAATCAGCAGCTTCCATAGAATTTGTTACCATTATTATTGTCTTTTCTCTTTTTACATCCTACGAATTAGTAGTCAGTTGTCCGTTATTTAAAGAAAAAATAAAGGATCAAGTATTGCATGTTTAATAGTGTCTATTAAAAAAAAAAAAAAACAACTATTTACCGAAAGTAAATCCCATACTTGTCTTTTGTGCTCAGGATCAAGTCCGTGCATAGGTTCATCAAGAATTAGAATCTACACATTCACAGAGGCCAGATAATTTAAATGAAGATTATTTATTCAGAGTTGCCTATTGTAATTTTTAACTTATCAAAAATATACAAAAAATTCTAAATAAGTCATTCCGTCGTACATATTATTACGATTTACTTTGCTTCAAATACTGTACTTTGGTGTTGCCAATAAGTGCCATTGCTAAACAAATTCTTCTTTGTGTACTGAACGAGCAATATTTCACCTTTGTATTTTTTACAGATTCCAAGTCAAGTTTTTTCAACAAGTTTATCGCTTCTCTATAAGCGTCCAGATATTTCATTCTTTTCATCTAAAAAGTGATATTTAAGAACTTTTACAAAACACCGCCGACTAATTACAAATGTAAATTAGTAAGTCTAGACATAATATTGTATAATTAAGAATACATATTTTAAACAGACACGATAAATGTTGCTTTTACTACACTATTATACATGCGTATATGTAGTTACGGCCAATAGATACATATTGTGTAATGTGTTTTATATAAAGAATGTATTATATATTGTTTACTACAATTGAATTAAATTACGTCGGCGGTAACACAAGTTTAAGTTAGAAATTAAAATTTATATTCTTGAGAAAAAAAAATGCGTAAAATAACTTATATACTAAAATCAATGATATATTGTATTTTCAATGATATTTTTGCAATATGTGCTTGTAACAAAAATAATCTACATGAACAATTTTTTGCGCAATCGAATAATCTAAATAAAGATTTTACCATTCCAAACATATAGATATGCTGCAATGTTGTTAAATAGTTCACCAATATATTTGACTGCGGACAATAACCAACTATGTGATTTTCACTGTGATTCTTTCTTTCCAAGTAAACGTGGCCATAGGTAGCTTTGTATATACCTATTAGATATATTATTTACATATTATAAAAAGAGACTGCATGTGTGAAAATGATGACAAAAAGTATATTTAAAAAATCATAGATTACCTATAATAAGTTTCAACAAGCAACTTTTGCCCGCGCCGTTATGACCAAGAATAACGGTAAATTCTTTATCGTAAAAGTTAATTGTTATATTATTTATAGCTGTGACACAATCATCAAGATATCTTCTACCAAATTTCTTGGTAACACATCTTACCCGAATACACGGCTACGTGAGAATACATAATAATCAGTTATATAATTAATTTACTTATCATTTATTTATTATTTGTATTTCTTTAAGATGTTATAATACGCTGTAGTGTTATAACATGTTAATATTAATGTATTAATATCTTATAAATATTGCTGTATTTTTTATAGGATGTTAATTACAGTCAAATTACGCTTATATTACAATAGTAATTGCTTACAATATAATAATCTTTATGTTTTTACGCATTAGTAAACAATCAATGCAATAGTATGCAATTTTTTTGCAACTTTATTTTTAGATTTCAATATGTTACTATTATTGTCACATCTTATTAACATCTAGTTTGTATGCAACATCTAGTTTATGTAACTTTTAAAATGCAAATGTGAATTTACGAGATAGCTCTGAAGGTTAATCTTTGAATGGTAACCTTCAAAACAATTTACATAAAGTCAACTAAAAATATTCATTTTGCTTTGTAAAAGCATGAGTTATTTTAATACAGACAATTATTTATTATCTGAGACATAATTAATATATACATAAGTTTATATGATTACAATTTCCAATGAGACAAAATTAAAAGTTGAGATACAAAGAAGTATTTTTGAAAAATGTTTATGTTTTGTATGAATTTAAAAAATACTGTCTGTAAACGCATATAAAATATATAGAATACATTTGTAATATACCATTTCGAAAACTCTTATTTCGGGACAACAAAACCTGGATTACAAAATAAAATTGAAACACAGGCTTGAAACCGGTTTTTTATTTTTAGCTGCCGAATTATGATATTATCTTGCTTGTACATGTTTTATACTGATTATAAAACTCTAAATGAAGTGTATTATATATAAATGCGTTTTGGCTTAGAACGTATATAATTGCATAAAAATTCAAACAAATATTAACACAATGAGTAATAAAAAGACACATAAATTATATGGGAAATTACAAATTATTTATGTGTATACCTTTATGTATGATGGTGTACTCTCCACTGCTGACCAATTGGTTGATCCTTGGATCATTAATTCCTCATCAGTGTGAGTAGGCTTCTAAATAATTAATGACAGATGTAAACACACACACGCATTCTCTTACACACTCATTTTCTAGTATCTCACATTCTATAAACAATATATTTAATTTTTATATTCTATAGATAATATATTTAAGAAAATTGTATATTTGTTAGAAACGTTTGTTGACAAAATAGAATTACACACACACTCATGTACATCTATCTATATTTACCTTACATAAATAATACCAAGGCTTTGCACTGCCGAATTTACCCGGATTAATATTATCCAAGTATATTGCTAACAAAAACCAGAAGATAATATGCAAACTCCATACGAACAGAATCATGCCAATGGAAATTTGGTCTCTAGCGTGAATAATATCGTGAACATCCCGTAGTGTTATCACATCGGAGAGCCATCGCGGCCACAAACATGAATCAGAGCTACTGTAAGTTTGCGGTTTCACCTTCCGTAATATATTTCTCAAATCTTCCTGTTCGTAATCACCTATAACAGAATATAAATTTTTACTCTAAATATGTCTATACATATTATTGCGTATGTGTGTAAATGTGTGTCAGTTCTAGAATGCTGTAAGTGATACATATTTATATGGATAAAATAACATACACAGGATTTTATGGCTTACTAAAATCCGTACGAGTCGTGAAGGCTACCAGCCCGTACAACAAGCCACCGTGTGGCAGAATCAGCAAACCAATTTTTGACAGAATGGATTCTGTAATTAGAAAGTGATCGAGAACGACGGTAAGATGTGTCAGAGCAAGCCAAAACAGAATCGATGTGAGCAATGCCTTTGTAGCTATAACACAATAATATTTGTAAAAAATATTTTTAAAATACATAAAACATGCGAGTTACACGCTTAAGATAAAATTACCATTTTTAGAATATATATTTCGTAAAAAGTTATTTATAAACTAAAGAATTCTACATACATGTTCTTTCTTATTTTCTCAACAAAGTAACTTACAATGATTAAAAAATGTCCCAATGGTGAACATAAAAACTGCTGAAAGAATAGTGTACATTACAATGAAAATGGCTATAATCAAAGCGTTTGCGGCCATAAACACAGGATTTAGCAGGATCGTGCATATAATTGTTATGGGTAATAAGGAGATCATGAGATAACTAAGCCATCCGACGTACAACATCGCAAAAGACATATTCGTCAATTTCATAAGACTCTAAAAAAAAGACATATTAACTTGTATATCGACATATTAACGTAATAAGCAATATGAATTTGTAACAGTATAAAAACAATATTGTAACTAAAAAAATTGTGGCACACAAAAGTAGTTGTATGATAATTTACAGTTTGCAAAATATATATAAATAAAATTTAATATGAATGTAAATAACATAACGAAAATTTACTCTGAATCCAGTTTCCTTATCATAAAGTGCCTTCTTCAATGTCGTCGCTGGTAACAGAAAAAAAGCGATGACCATCATGTAATAAATTACACTAATGTTGTGACGAATGACAGACGGCAAGAGCAAAACATCCATTTTGTAAAACGGAAATCGACTAACAGTAAACTGCGCAAAAAAACCCTGCTTTTATTATAATATCAATACTTACAGTTGTTTTTTGTATTTTTAAAATTTAAATACGACTTACATTATCAGCAATCTTCGGTAATGTCGAATCCGTCCATAATTCTATGAAAGATTTTTCAATTGCTATTTGCAAGGCCATAAAGCCACTTGACATATACGGATCTTTAAACAACAGATAGTAACATTACTATAAATATTACTTATATTTTGTGATGTCATCATGTTTTGTAAAGGTTTAAAACAAAGTTTTGATTAACATCAAATATTTAAACATAAATATTAAAAAAATATATATTTAATTATTAAAGCGATTATGAACAGTTTTAAATATTGCTACATATAAGATATTTTAATATATTTCTTCAAAAAAACGCTTACTATTCTAACATACCTTCATAAAACGGTTCTTCTTCATGCATCATAATTATTCGATTTTCGCCTATTTCCGAAGAACGTATTTTATATTGTAAAACTTTCGGATTTCCAGATCTATACTTATCGATCTCAAATATCGCCCACAATACCTTGGATGTATCATTTCTCGTGTAACGTGAATGTACGAGAGTAATCTCGTTATCAGCTGCTTGAACTTATTAGAAAATTATAAAATTTATTATTATTAAAATTATAATTCATTATTACTTATAATTTATTATTATTTTTATTAACACAACAAACAAACAATAAATTATAAAGCTCGTGAAATGTTCAACTAAATATCAAGGTTGATATGCTAAATGCACAAATATATATACACATATATTTATATTTTTTTAAGATAAATTAACACACAAAGAGATTTAAAATTCAATTTGAAAATTTGTGTGGGATGTTTGGCATCTCATATATGTAAAATGTTCGACTTACATCTCTATACAAATTAAAAATTCGATATCAAAAGTCTGTTCTACAATAAAGTCGTATGTTGCTGTCGGACATCGGGCGCAAATGTGTGAGTTAACTATTCGACTTACGACAGCTCTCGACGACATGAGTCAGCTCATCGATATGCTTACGTCTGACAGCAACACACGACTTATTGTAGAAGCTAAAAAACAAGCTAAAAAAAGAAAAGTTGAATTTGGATCTCTCGTATTTTATGTAGAATTTAATTTGATTTCTGTGTTATAATTTATATGTTTAAAAAAAATAGATATATATGTATATATTTGCATGTTCACTGATTTATTTTGCATGGTAATTGATTGAATTGACCTTTGTAATCGACCTTGTAAAATTTAGTTGAATATCCGTAGAATATCTTACTATTTTTATGCAGCATTCCAGCGACTTTTGACATTAACTCGTCGAGAAACGCATGTTTTGGTGCGTACCAGCATTGCACATCTTCTGGCAACTTTTTTAAAATGTCATCTCGACTGTGTTGCTTCAAATCCTTCAAATAAATTTAAAAAAGATATTTATATGCAAATTATCTTATTTATATATTTATATCTATATGTATCCATTATATGTTTGTTTAAGAATATATATAATAAATTATGACATTTTATTATCATACATAATATAATTTTTTAATGTTTATTAAGATAAATGTGTTTTGTGAAAAGAGAAAAACGCTAATATGAACCTGAGGATAAAGAGCGGGTTCAAATATCAAACGTATCTGCAGCGAAAAGACAATAGCTATAACAATTTCCAATGTAGTGCTTATCGGACTATCTAGCCTCATGAGTACGGCTTTCCACATAAGGATTCGCCATGTTGTCCAGAATCTTCTGAACTTTGGATGTTGGACGATCTGCCTCAGTCTACATATCAGGTCCATCGACAAAATAAAATGTTTGCTTCACAAAATGCTCGCACGTAAAAAAAATTAAAATTGAAAAATTATACGTTTGACAATCGTTCTCTCGAGAAACATGTTTTGCGAGATAAAACAAAGCACTGTCAATTTAGAAAATACATATACGTATGATATAAATAAATTATAACCATGAGTCTCGAATGACATGTTTGTGAAACTTTTTTAGCTTTTGTGATTTTTAAATAAGCCGGTTGCAGCAAGCTGACAACATTCTACTAGCAGGAAAGAAAGTGATTGGCGAGCATTACGGTCTGCTTGCCGGTTACGAGATATAACGATTTTTTCCCGAGACAAATACGTGCAAATTTGTTTTCAATTCTATATATTTAAGCGTAAGTATTCTAAAGACAATAAAATTGTTTAATACTTTCCCTAATGTTTTTCAAGTAATTTCAATCACTGATAAAATAAATTTTTATACTTCGAAAAAAATTATTATAACATTTATTTATTTTGATATAATTTCATATAATTCTGCTGATTATTATTTTGCAACGATAAGATTTACGACTTATCTATTTAGTTTTACATTAAAAAAGTAACAATTTATCCATTATTTGTATTATCAAGTTGTTTTTCAAAACAGGTTAACAAATATTTTTATTAACTACTTTATAATGAAGAAAATTCGACAAATCTTTAAAGACGTTAAATTGTCTCGATTGTTTCTGGATTTAACTCTTTTATCAGTGAAAATAAGTCTAGCGATGTTAAGCGCCACTTTAAAAATGGTCATGCCTCGTTTCATGAAACAATTACTAGGTGAAACTGTTTTAGTAAGTCTTGGTCTTTAATAAAAACGACGAATATAAGTCGTGTGCTGCAACAACTTTCAAGATGCATGCGCTTGTGTGTTAATTTTACTTAATATTAGATCACTGGTGCTGGCCACGGTATTGGTCGTGAATTAGCTATTCAATTATCCTCAATGGGTTGCACAATTATCTGTTGGGATAACGATGTTGAGAGCAATCGATCAACAATGAGAGAAGTGTCGAAAAATGGAGGAGAGGTGAATAAACAGGGTTCTAAAATTAATTTTTATTATACAATATAAACTCTGTTATTATTAATAATTTATAATTAATAATTTAATTAACGCTATACAAAAAAACATTTCTTTTCATTTTATAATTACTTTTTTTAAACAGTATTTTATAAATTTTTTTCTCTCTCTTTCTATTTCTTAATATTTTTTGTTAGGAAGAAATATTTCAATAAACTGATAGAATTATATAAGATAAATTATAGTAATATAAATTATAGTCATATTTTTTAGGTTTACGGTTTTATGGTCGATGTTTCGAAAAGATTAGAAGTGCGAGAGACAATGAAATTGATGAGTAAACTCGGTGTGCCGGATGTGACAATACTCATCAATAACGCAGCTGTCTTGTATCATAAGCCATATCTAAATTATATTCCCGACGACATTGAAAATACGTTTAATATCAACGTGTTCTCAAATTTCTGGGTATACGTTTACGTAAATTATAATTTAATATAATTTATATGCGTACAAATTACACTATATAAGTTGCTATTTGTTTAATGTGAACAATATTAAATATTATAATATATTATTATATTTATTTTTATTTAGTTTAGATTTAATTAAATAAAACAATTTGTGTAACAACAATTTATTTTTCCCGATAATAGTAATACGATTTTATTAATATAAGAGATGCATTTAATACGTATAAGATAAATTTTTTATGATGTGTTTATATTTCAAGTAGACGATAGAAGCATTTCTACCAATGATGCTTCAGAAAGGTAGTGGTCACATAGTAGCGATGAGTAGTATGTGCGGGTTTTACGGGGTATCGCAAAAAGTGGCATATTGTTCATCAAAATTTGCCGTGAGAGGTATCCGTTCATTATTCTTTTTTTTTTTGTAACATGTACGTCTGTGTACATTTGATTGTTTTTAGGTCTTATGGAGGCTCTCCGAGAAGAAGTACGATTAGATGAAAGGAAACCCAACATTTTCTTCACAACTATTTATCCATTCTATGTCGATACAGGTTTAGCGAGGGATCCTAAATACAGGTAAATTACAATTATGTAAAAATTAACATAATATAATAAGTTTCTTGTTGTCTGTGGTATAATTATAGCGAAAACTTGGTCGGCATGCATGATACGATCTAATTAGATCTCACTTATTACACACAAGGATGTATTACTCATGTTATTAATTAGTTTTTCTGACGGACAGTGACCATGAAAGTATAACGTTTTTATACCGGTATCTCTCTTTCTCTCTGTCCCTCTCTCTTCCGGCATGGATGTGGAAGTTGCACGCGAAAGCATTGTATTTGCAAATCGAATTGCCTTGTCTATTTTAATGCAATCTGTTGCACAAGATGTGATTAATATACTACACAAACAATTTAATCATTTAACTTTTACAAAGAAATGATGACGAGACAATTATGACGTACACATAACATATTTATAACTCAAGCAACCAATTTGGCAATTAGTTTCTGTGTATTACAAATTTATTCAGAATTGCAAGACTAAAATTTCAAGGATATCTTTGTTTGATATAATCTATAATGCAACTATATCATAACACCTATCTTTTGCTATCATAATAGAGAATAACTTATTACTCAACACAACATAAAATTAAGTAGTTGCGTAAAATGTTTTATTTCAGTTTTTATGTTAGAAATACAATTTAGAAATAAACACTTTTGTTTGTCCTAGATTTTTATATACATTTGTATATTTGCAGATTTCCTTACATCTTCGGCGTGGTGACGCCGGAATACGCAGCTCGAGAAGTGATTACAGCGATTCGACGAAATTACACGGACTACTCTATACCGCGATGTCTTCTTTTTCTGAACGCAATTAATAGGTACAAATTCAAAGTGTATACATAAGTCGCGTAGTATTTCATACTTGCTTACACACACTTTTTTTTAATTATAATTACGTCTTATACCTGTGTGCAATCAAGTTCGTACTTTGTAAGTAATTTGTAAATATAATAATTATATTTCTGATTTCATAATTGTTTTTGTGTTTTTACACATTTGTCATAATTTTACTTGTTCAGGATCGTTCCCGAGAGCGTAATGCGGTTGATATTGGATTTCTTAGCAGATGTTGATCGAAAACAGAAGGAAAAAGATATAACGAAGTTGTAAAGTTAGGAGATTAGAAAAAATTACACAATAGATTATGGAAGGCTTATGTAAGATGTATATACATATTTTTATTAGGTATGAATATTATATTATAAATTAATATAAAGAATCTTTTGTAGTGTGTAAAATACATAGCTTTTACCAATAGATCACAAATATTTTTATTTTTATTTTATACTTTGATGCATTTTCACATTAAATTTAGACCTTTTAATTGCACTTTTAATGAAGTATAACTTTTTCCAAATTATTTACTTTACCGAACACAACAGGTGAATTAATATTGGACGATTAAAATTTACTCGCTTTGTGCAGAAAAAAAGTTTTATAACAGTTACAAAAGTATAGATATAATATTGTACATAAATGGTTAAAAATTAGTTTTGTTCCGCATGTTGATAAAAAAAAAAAAAAAATTACAAACATTGCATTGAAGACTTCTGGTCAACCTGTAACACATATGTGACAAAAGAAAAAGAGCAGTTCTCTTAGAAAGTAAACTAGGCAAATGTGTGTACTTTGTTTGTGTCTGTGTGTTCACACCGCAAAGATTTATTGCAGGCTTGTTACATAATATCACGCTAAAGCTAAATATCAAAATTATGTCGATATATAAAATAATAATGTTCATTTTTATCGGGTTTTCATACAGTTTTAATCACGATATTTTGTTATTAAAAATACTCGTCATTCATTTCGGTTTTTAATGTGTAAATATATAAATATTAAAGTTTAAACACCTTAAAAATCTCTTGAAAAACCTTGTCTTCATAAAAATATTATGCCTTTAAATTATATAGTACATTGCCAAACATGAAAGTTCTTGTTTCTCTTTTACGAAACATCTCGAATGAGATTTGTTACAAAATTATAGTGACACATGCGTAGTAAAGACCATTGTGAAAAAAAGTATCTCTCTTTAGCACTGAGCATTCTCTTAAAAAAAGTCGTTTTATTTTATTACAAAATTCTCTACATCAAATAATAAAACAAAAGTGATATTGTAAAAATCTTGATAGATATTGCAAACACATATTCAAAAACTCATATTTAATGTTCTGTTTTTACACAAAATAATCAACTTGCAATTTTTTTCAACTTCTCTAATTTGAGTTATTCTAAGACTTTCTGTCTCATAATTACCTAAGAAGAACAAGAAGTTACGAAAATGTTAAAGTGATTTTAAAACGACCAAAGTCAAATTGACATCAAACTGGTCAAAAATAGGACAAGATTTTGACATCATTTTTTATCACTAGATGACATCAAGATTGCGGTCACCACACGCTTAAAAAAAAGCATGTTAAACATATCTCCTCACTCTCATCTTTCTTGTTCCCAAATAATGATAAATGTTATTCAAGATAGTTCAGTCTTTTTATTGAAACACATTAGTGTCAAAATGAAAATAATGAACATAAGTATAAATAGGAAATATTTGAATAGAAACTTCGAATTTTGAACGTTTAACTCGTAAATCAACTAATTTGCTCAGTATAATGACTCGTTAAACTGGCGAGCTTCTACCTATTGCGTTAACAATCTCGATCACGGAGGAAAGAAAAGAGAACGTAAAAACTCTCACGCACGATTTTTAATGTAGAGTCGAACTATGCTGAAAGACTGTAAGAAAAGCGAAATAAGATGGATAGGATAATGGGATTCGAAAAAGCGCACTAACTTTTCGTTTTAAAAGAGTAATTGCACAAAGATCATTATGACGTTATTTAAAGTCAAAATGTCATTTTGACTTTTTCGTGACTTCTTGTTCTTCTTGGGGATTAATTAATTATATATTGAAACGTGTATGTGTGAAAGACAGTCGATTACTTTCGCCCCTAAATAGACGCTTTCAGTAGTCTTAAATTTTACATCAGCTCACTGTTGCAATGGTCAAAATTTGCAAGGTGAACCTTGAATTGCTAATTTGCTTTGCTTCATATGCTAAATATGGCTTTGCCTTTCATTTATTTTAATTATCATCTCTCTCTCTTTCTCTTTTCCTTTATATATATATATATATAAAGAGCTATATATATATATAGTATATATATGTATATATATATGTACACGAGTATTTATACAATCTTCAATAAAAATCTGTTTTACATACAAATCGCAAAACTTGTTTTTTTTACAACAGCGTATATATATATACAACAGCATCATTATTGGCAACTATGCGAATGCACTTCTAGTTTTTACGTTAGAGCAAAGAGAAGAAAATAAAAGATTTCACGACCTTAATAGAGAATTTTTTTGGGCTCTGAAGTTTCCAAACTATAAGTATATATATATATATATATATATATACAACCGAATAGGAAAATCGACGGCACGGAAAGCTGGAAATTCCAAGTTTGACTCCTGGCCGAGGAGTTTTTTCGCAATATTTTAAAATTATTTAGGGAAGTACATATTCGGTCGTATATATACTTATAGTTTGAAAACTTCAGAGCTCAGAAAAATTCTCTATTAAGGTCGTGAAATCTTTTATTTTCTTCTCTTTGCTCTAACGTAAAAACTAGAAGTGCATCCGCATAGTTGCCGATAATAATGCTGTTGTATATATATATACGCTGTTGTAAAAAAACCAGTTTTGCGACTTGTATGTAAAACAGATTTTATTATATATATATATACACGCATATTTCCGCAACGATCCAGCGAACGGCTCTCGTGTGATTGTATATACATATACTTCACGACCTTGTTCGCTCTACAACCAAAGGATTTCAACACGTGTAGTAGTGCAGAATGGTTTAGTCAAGTTCAAGCAATCCGAGAGTTCTATTCGCCGTCGTCGCATTTGTGTTTCGTAGAGGATCACTCCTACAGGTTTCCTTTAGTTCACCGTCATGGAACTTGAGAATCAAGTGTGACGCAGTAATCTACAAGTTCTCTACAGTAACGTTTGCCTGTGCAAGTTTTAGATCTTCCGCTCGGCTTTAGGACATATCACGTTATGTGCAGCTTCGAGTAATGTGTAAAAAAAGTTGTTATAAATTTGTTTCAATATACAAATATGTCAAAATATATAAAAATTGATTTGCATTGATGTTTAGTGAAATGTACTGCTTGTTTAGCATTTTACTTATGTTAAAATAAGAAGAAGAAGCATTTCAGTGTACCTGTGTTGATTATTTAAAGTATATTTTTTGTGTATTAAAATTAAAATCAAACATCACATTATTGAAAAATTTTCAAGTACAACTTTTTACAGATTTTCTTTATACTTTCTCTCTCTCTATCAAATAAAAATAATTCAGAGCTGATTTCTGTATACTTCCCGATAGCTAGATTCTCTGGATAAAGATAAACAAAAAACTATATTTTATCTTTTAGATAAAACTGTTAGAGGTGAAAAACTTCGGCATCAGTGATTTGAAAAAAACTTTTACAGATCTATATTTTTGGTGCAATTTGTGTGGAAACATTTGATACTTTTAATAATATTTTATAGTAAGTATTATATATATTTGTAAATATTCTAGTGTTCTATCTAAGTATTACGTATAATATTCTTTGCTGAAATAATTCTTTGCTATGTGTAAAATAAATTTGTCTTCTATATATATTCGTCCTTTATGAAATAATAAAAATGAGCAAACAAACAACTAAGAATGAGCAAACAAATATGTAGCAACAGTGTGACCGCAACTGCAGTAAAGTGAGAAAGTTATTTGCAGTTCTTTTTTATCTGCTATTAAAAAAAAAGTAGTTATAGGAAACGAACAGCCTTCAATTTTAATAGCATTCAAATCAATGTTCAATCTACATATTAAGGTGCATGGAATATTCTCTTCTTATAAACTGCGTTTTATTATATCATTGAGACAGAATCGCAATATAATATATTTTTTCTCTTATTCTCATAAAAAACTGAAATTAAGAATATTCATTAATTTTACATCGTAGAAACGGCAAATTACTTTGTGAGGCAATTGTAACATGATAAAAGTTGTTTGTCTCACTTATGTTTTACTATATCATTTAAAAGAAAAAATACATTAGCAAACGAATATATATGCGCAAATAGCGAATTTTAATTTCATTTAAAATTCGGATTTTAATTTCATTCAAGAATGTATGCAAATACGAGGAAGTTTTACGACAACAAGTAATAAATGTAAGAAAGCAAGAAGATAAAGAATGCAGTTAATGTTGTAAGATTGTTTGCCTTTTCCAATTTTATGTTTAAATACGTCTTTGAAACTTGCAAAGAAGTAATAAGATGCTAATTTACTATGTAGAATACCACAAATCGAATAAGGATTCTTGTTGTTTACTAAAGCACAATATCAGAATTCTAAAGACAAAAATTTACATATTGAGTTTTTCGTTAATATTGCAAATCACAGACATTTTGTGTTAAACTTGATAATTGGAAGAGTCATCGTTTGCATTTTAACTACTTTGACGTTATTATTAGTACAAGATATATTAATCGAAATGAATGAAGATGCTAACTAGACCTTATATATTATTTATTATTTTGTGACATCGTCTGTCATTTCAGTGTAGAGTGTAATTTCGTGTGATTTTTTACTTTTAGATATTGAAAAACTCTAGCTTCTAATTTTCTTCAAGCATAACGATCATTAGATCACATAAGAAGATTGATTGCGGTAAGTGCAAGTCGCGTGAGTCTAAGTGATCTTGTTTTGCTACGCTCGCTGATAGAAAGCGGTGCGCCTATAACAAAGAACGCACGTTATGCAACCGGAAGAATAACGTTTGCACTATAAAAATATCATGCTCGACTTATAACAATGTGTTTTATAATAAACTTACTGCAAATTGTACTTAGTATATTGTCATATATTCAGAAAACTCAGTTACTATTATTACTATTATTTTTGCACTAATGTTACAAAATGACTTATATGGTCGCGTTTAAAATTTTTTTACTTATGTAACATAAAATACAACACAAATTAATACTCGAGTATTAAAATTTGTTTTAACTATCACACTGTGTTTTACGTTTACAAGAATGCATTACATAAGATATTACTTAAAATTGTGGAAAATTAAATTGAATAGAAATAAGTTGTGAAAAATTAAAAAGCAACTGTAACGTAATGTAGCAAATATGTAATGAAATTTTATTTCAGTAATGCTTACCGCATGGTCAGTCAATTAATAATGTATCATGTTATGTTGCAATATCACTATTGAAATTTGAATGCACTGAATCGTGCATTCTTAAAGTAGTTTTCTCTCTCTCTCTCCCTCTTTCTTCCTCTTTCTGTCTCTTTCTTTCTCTGTCTTTCTCTCTCTCTGTCTCTCTCTCTCTCTGTCTAATAAATACCAGTTTCAAAAATCGATCTAATCATAGTATAAAAAAATGATTTATGCAAGTTTATGTAATCAGTTTTACGCGCACACGCGATGAATGTAATAGTAAATGATTTAAAGTAAAAGAACGTAAAAGAGAGATGTAGAAAATTCACAATTCTGACAGATAGTTGTAATATTTTATTACACGCTAGCCACAAAGCTGTGATGGCTGCTAAGTCAAATGTTTCATAACCAATGTTATTATTTGTTCTTCCAGACACTGTCGGTCAGACTGAGATATAACTTAACCGATCGTAGTTTTTATTTAAACAAGAAAAAGAACAAAAAGAAGTTTTATTACTTGCTAACCGCAACATTGCAAAACTTAGAATTTTTTCTATTTTTAGTATGTGTGCATAAGCGTTATGTAATAATTTTTATGTAAAGTAACTTTTATAAATATTTGCTTGATTTATATCACAAACAATTGCAAACATAGTTTATTATAGTTAAAATATATTGTAAAACTAGAGAAGAAACAATTCTGAATATTCATATCTACGTAACACACATATGTCTATGTGATTCATGTTTCTTTCATATACGATTGTAATCTTATTTTCTTCCTGGTAAATAGCAAAAACGTTAATAATACGTTTCTACAAGTGCGTCAGTCATGTTATTCATTTTAAATAGACGTAGAGAAGTTTGATTTTAGCGTTGTATAATCGGAATTTCCTTCTTGAGTGTGTTACTTAAATAATATATATTATAATATATATTCCGTATAATATATATTATATAATTTATTATATATTTATAATATTATACATTATATTATATATTATATGTGTATTATATACTACAGTAAGGTCACTGATCTTGGTTACGTGACCGCGGCGGGGTCACTGACCTCGGTCGCGCGACCTTGGTGGAGTCACTGACCCGGTCGCGCGACCTTAAGGGGGGTCACTGACTCGGCCGCGCGGCCTTGGTGGGGAGGGGTCACTGACCTCGGTCGCGCGACTTTGGCGGGGTTACTGACCTCGGCCGCGCGACTGGCGGGATCACTGACTTTGGTCACGTGATTACGGTATATATACACATATAATATATATATATATGTGTGTGTGTGTGTGTGTGTGTATTAGATATAGATATAGAATATTATATATGATATATATATAATATTCTCGTTTTTACTCTTTTCCTTATTACGTGACTTTAGTCATATGGTGTTTCTCTACTTCTTCTTGTTACGTGTTGTTTTTCCACTCTTCTCTTTTTTTAGTTTTCGAGTTTGATTTTTATATGTTATTTCTGATATCTTTCATTTGTACTTTATGGGTATTATATGGTTTGTAAGACGTATATATTAGCTGTCATTATATTTTATCGCGGTGACATGTTGTGTCTACTGACGGAATATGTTAAAATAAAAATAATAGCGTGCGCGTAGCGCGCGTCTGTGATGTGCTCTAGTTTATCAAATTCGAGATTCGCTATCAGTTACATTTTAAACATGTACAGTGAAAATCGCAGTAATCATCGTGTGTTATATGTAAGATAATTTATTATTAATTTTCTAAACTGTAAATACATTCAAATTTTGTTTAAAGTTTTGTTACTATTTTTCATTTGAAATACCATTAATTTTTATAAATTTGACAAAAAGAACCTCCCGACACATGCTGACTTTGACTAAGTAAATCACACAACCTATTCATGTAAGTAAAAAAGACAAACCATCTTTATCTCACCCAAAATATTATAACACGTCAATTATTGTAGAAATCAACATTGTTAAAGACCACATCTCTGGATCAAAACGTCTGTTTATAAATTAATAATTTTTGTAAAAATTAACGTGTTACAGTATTACATTATTATAGTACGTTTTTATAAAATAAATATTTACTGAATAGATTTGATCACATTTCGCACAATTCTAGATTAATTCTTTGCAATAAAATTTATATACTTTGCTGCAATTTATCAAAAGTAAAACGTATTATGGCGATGTGTTCTATTTTGACCCGATTACTTTCAGTACTGTGTTTCTGAAACGACCAATTTATTTTCTTTCGATTATTAGTTTGCTTTCACGCCACGATGCGATAGTCATACATCTTTTAAAGTGCTTGCTTGCCTCTGAAATACCACATCGTTCATTACACATCGCGTAACAAGAACATATAGGAGTTTAATGTTACATAAGCAAGTGCAGTGTTATTTTCCTACTTTCAGTGTACGTAAAATGGTATTGATTTCGACACAGCATAATTACCCATAATTTGTCGCATTTTGTAATAACATGACAGAAAGCTTATAGAAAGAGATTTTTAAATATTATAGAAAGAGACAATTTTTTAAATTGTTTAAATTATTGATATTTACTTAAAATGTATATAGTAAATGTGATGAAGCAATTAAAATATGTGCAATTAAAAACTGAAAATTTTGTTATTTTACAGCGGATAATGATACTATTTAAGAACAAGAGAACAAATTCAGAAACAGGCTTCTCGATCACTTCCTGGCTTTATTTAAGTTTTTGTTTTGAATATGTAATTGGCTTTGTCATCATTAGTTTCTCAGTTATTCTTAATATTATAAAGTTGTTACTACCAAAACCGCCAAGGAATTTGACTGGCAATGTAGTTTTGGTATGTATAGCTAATATAAATTTTAATATGTATACAATATATTATATATGTATAAAAATATGAACAATAATGTGATATAATGTAAGATTTTAACTTTTTTTATATATCAACAATACAGAGAAATTAATGCGTATAGTGAAGAATATCAAGCATTTTTGAAAACACAAAGCAATCCTTTTATCTAATGACAAATGACAAATATTTCTCGTAAACAGATTGCTGGTGCCTCATCGACGCTCGGCGAGTTCCTCGCCGAGGAATTCGCAAAGAACGGGTGTTCTGTGATTTGTGTAGATGACGACCTTGAATCCATGAAGAAGATGATTGCTAGGTTGCGATCACGTTACCATAGAGTAGAGGAAATCGGATCTGACCATAGAAAATACGAGTCGGGCGGACTATCTACGATAGTCGCGTACAAGTGTAATCTGATGAGCCGTAGAGCTATCCGTGAAGTCGCTTGGAAGATCGAGCATAAGTTCGGCGACATCGATGTGTTGGTGACCGTTTGCCAACCTGACTCGGATATTTATAATGTAGCAACTACGACTCTTATGAGACACTATTTGGTAAATATCGACCAATGAATGTGAAAATATTTGAAAATATTTTGTTGCGTTGTATTAAATTATAGTCGATCGTTGACATCGAAACATAAAAAAATGGCTCTTTTTACGCCAACCGCTGATTTTTTCAATGTTAATTTTAATACATATATTTACATATTAATAATTAACATATTTTTTTTTATTGATGTAGACAATGATGACATTTTTGCCGTTCCTACTACAAAACAATGCGTGTATCGTCGAAGTATTACCAGTCTCGACCATCGATACTACGTATTTAAGCTCGAGAACAGCTCTTGTCAGTGCGTATAACCAATTGCAAAAGTCAGTTACATTTTGCATGATAAAAGAAATGTCGTCCTGGATTGATGGCGTAATGATTTATTGACATTTATAGATTTGATGGAATATTTGAGTGAAGAATTAAACGATCTTTGCGGTCATTGCACCTTTCTCAGCATGTCAAAAATAGCGAAACATCAGTAAGCACTTTTTTCTGCAATATAACGTATTTTATACAAATATGATACTTATTTTAAACGTCACATTTTTGTAATTTATTAGAAGTTTAATCAAACAAACCGAACAACAACTTGCTTTGGAGGTTGTACGAGCGATAAAAGGAAACTTTGCATCCAGCTGGTGGTCAAAGATACTGTATCAAGTAGGGTAAGACGGAATCTGATCGAAAAAAATAATTCAATTGTAAAATGACCAATATAGTTATAAAAGTTACCACTGATCAATAACTTTTTACAACATATGATACTTTAATATTGTTGTGCTAAAATTACGTATTTAAAAATCACGTATTTGGATCATTGCGCGCGCGATTGGCATAATATAGTTTAATATTACTTTTAAATTTAATATTACTTTTTATAATTGAGACATTACGTTTTGATTTTGTATTTTAGTTATATGATCTACAACGCAATAACGATGTTCACACAATGGCTTCACACGCAAGAATGCGATTATTTCCTATGAAGTCTGTTCTTGCTCATGAAGCGTGAAACATTCCAAAGCCAGCGACCGCCATGAGTGTGGGAATCGTGTTTTTTCTCTTCTCAAATTTGCTCGGAATAAACGGCAAAGGACTTTAATAATTATCGTATCCCAAAAATTTGAACAGCAACAAGTTTTTCGTGAAGTGTGCAAAGATAAAATAATATTAGTGCTAATAAAATACCACTTAATTGTAATATTAATAATAATACTGACATAAATAATAAAAATTTTGTATGATTTAAAAGTATAACTTTTTTTATTTAAAAACAATTTATTTTCAATTTATCTTTTAGGTAGATAAAAATGTGTAATTACCTTCCAGTAAGTGTTTTTCTTATTTGCATATATTTTTTTTCTCTCATAAGTGCTCCACAACAAAACGTATTTATAAAGTACATCAAATGTATTTTAAAAAATATTAAAGATCAATATGAGGTTAAGTTTTTTAACAAATATTACATACATATTGTTTACATTTGATCGTGAGAATCAGAATTCATTAGAATTATTCTAATTGTTATTTAATTTACTTGCTAATTTATATAAAGATTTGACATTGAACTACACGGTAACAGCACATCGTAGTGACCGTTTTCGGAGCATCCGATAAACAGGAGTCTCGCGGTGTCGTACGAGACGTTCAGACGATTGTGAAAGACCAGTTCGAGTTCGTATCTGCCAGTGAGTTCTCGATAGATTGAGAGATTCATGTGATAAAGCTTAGTAGCCACCGTACACTCCAGCTCGCTGGCAAACGTGCCCACTAAACTCATGTAATCGTAATACTCTTGGCAATCCGAAATGTTCCACTCGGCCATCACAAACGGACCATATTCGCGCCAATTGTCCTTAATGTGCTGCACAACCTGTCAAAATCACCCATATGATTCTTACACACGTCGTCGTACATCAATTATCGCTTCCTGTCAAGATGATCTCGTAAGAGAACAGCCACTCGTAGGAGGTGGGCGTCTGTTTGATTGAATTATTGAGCTTCTCGCTCGTCGCAATTCTATTTTTGACTTTGTTCATCAGCGATAGATTTTTGTTTCCGCGATATTTTTCACGAATATTAAAATAGTTATGGATAATAATTAATCATAATAATTTGTGTTTATCGCGTTGAACTAACCATAGCTCGGAGTGATTGGTGTTCGTCTTCATTTCGCCACAAAATGTAGCTGATCGCTCTGAACATGCAATTGCCATCTCCGAATATCTTGCGCACGCGGAACGTGCCTTCGTTACACTTTAGGAGAGCCGTATCTGCAAAAAATGTGTACGATACGTACGCTTGTTAATTTAAAAGATTAATAATTAATAAATTTTAAGAATAAGTTGAAGCTGCGCGAGAAACGTTCGCGTGATGTTACCTCTTTTAAAAATTTGAGAACGTTTGTTTCGACAAACGCGTTTTGTTTGACTGGCTTGTATTGATATTTGCTTGCTGGAGACCAGAGACAGATTTGCTATGCAAAGTCGTTTTTGCACGTTCGAACTTTCGAAGAGCTACCGATGATTTTGAAATCTCTTCGATCCAAAAAATGTTCCTTTTTTTCTGAATTGTATTTCTTCTCATTCTCGAGTAATATACGGCGATGTTCGCAATTGTCTATAAAACACGCGCGATTTTATCTTTTTCTTTTCTTTCTCAGTTGGATAATATTTTTTATCTCTTGTCGATTTTTCCGCGCGCCTGTTTCTTATTATATTGAATATTGATAACGGGATGAAAAATTTTCAAATAAGTTTTTTTACCGCTTTTGAAAATACGTGTGCATAAATAATAGCATCATAAGCACGGCACACACACACAGACTCACTCTCTAGCAGCTTTCAACAGTCTTTGATGGTTTGATTTAATTTAAAAGAACATAAATTACAAATCTTCTATATAATATTATAAAAATTCTTGTGATTAACAGCAATTTATCACGTTATCGCAGCAAACAATATCTTGATTAAATACTTTTTTTGCTATTAGAAATTAAAAATACAGTGCTCACATGTTTTGATTGATTCATTTATATTCTGACATTTAATAGCATAAATATAGCAATGTGTAATACGATTATCGATTATATATTATCGAATAATATATCTATTCATTTAGTTGCTCTTCTGCGTTCCGATATTTACTGCCGCTACTGAAAATTCATAGTAAAGTTACTCATATACTATAGATTTTCAGTCTGTCTATAGTTTTACGTGTTACGTGTCATATACTATAGATTATCAGTGACGCCTCTTCTAGTGCGGTCAAGCCATCTTGCAATTGAAAATATATCAATAATAAATTTATATCCACGCAAGTCCTCTCTTTTCGCGAAAAAATTATTTTATAATTCTATTTTGTAACAATTGTTTAATCCACATTTAATCACTTTTTATTTATTTGTATTTGTTGTCAAACCGCATCGCCAAAAATTCATGGCAGTAGAGTTTGATCTTATTTAATTTATTTGGTTTATCACAGATTATACAATTAACACGAGAAAACCAATTAAATATATATATTTAGTTTTTTTATTTTAATTAAAATTTACGTGAGAATAGTGCAACAAAGATTTCGTTGCACTGGAACAGAGGGCACCAAAGAACCGTGCAGCACACAGCAAGTCGTCGAATTTGCTTGTCGACTGAGGATGTCACGTGACATCTTCGCCTAAGGTATTAGGAGGGTGGAAGATCGGTTACACGTGCAGCAGTGGTGGCAGTTGTACGTCGGCCGTGACGAGGATACAAGTGTCTGTATGAGAGCAAGACGGACAGATCGAAATGGCGGCTATGATGTACAAAAACGTGCCGTCGTAGTGATGAAGTGTGCGAAAATTGCTCCGATCGTCGTTCTCTTCGAAATTCTGCCGTGAGATCCGTTCTCGTGGCACGGCCAAATGACATGGGAATTTGCAGTAGAAGGCACTTTCTACTAACGATATGCAGCCTGCAATTAGTGAGTTGTTAATTGATCTACATATCCGCACGCGGAAAAACTCGCCTCGACAGGTTCTGCGCGTTACAATAAATCGGCCGCATTCAAGAATATTTGTACGTCACACCGTTTTTATTCGCGGACTGAGTCATATTTTCTTTTTCTTGCAAATACCGCGATTAGGATGCGATACGACTCCGTTAGTCACGCTGTTCCATCGTCAGCGCACTTGCGCGGCGTCCATTGGAAAAGGCGCAGAGCGCCGTTACCACGTTTTTCTTATCGTAGATGCGCACTTCGATTATATCGTATCGTTTTATCGACCTGAGCTGCGCGATTTATCTTGGACGTATATACACGAAAAAAACATGTATTCCAATATTTGTCACATCCGTGATGTAAGAATACACTATGATTACATCGCTTTGTAAACAATTGTTGATATCGGAGCAATTTTTTGCACTAATGTATATACAAATACTTATATACGTATATAAATTTTTTTTATGAAAAGGGTACAGAATTGTATGCTCTGATGTATACATACACACATGTATGAATTAAAAACACAACTATAAGAAATACAAGTTTACATAAAAGCTTATGTCAATAAAATAATTATTTGTACACGTAATAATATTTACAATAATAATTTTAAGATATTATGTAATATAATATTAATAAAAATATTGTAAAACAAAACTTTCTGTGTGAAGAAAACAAAGACCTAAACCGTCAGACACATTATTTTATACGTACATAACTATGTAACAGATAAACCCATATTTAACTATGTAGTGTCATCGAAAGCTATGACTCAGGGTAATTAACCCAGTATTTAGAACATAGGGCGCACTCTCACAATTGTCGTAGATTAAGAAGACGCACAAAAAGGAATTAAGAGAAATTGAGTTGCTTGTCGCTACTTCCATTATCATTTTCTACGCTAAGAATTTATATCTTACATTGTATATTTTTAATGCATATTTAATTAATATTAAATTGCTTTATTTTTATTCACAGATTACTACTATAGAACGGCAAGTTTTCGATTCTCTGGGGTTTATGTGGGCCCCGATACTGGTCAACTTCTTCAACATCATCTTCGTAATTTTAGGATGTTTTGGGGCCTTTCAATATAGACCTAAATATATCATAGTAGTATGTAAATGATTCAATGATTTTTAACGCAAACGTTATTGCCAAATATTACAAAGAAAGAAAATCGTTATTGTGTAACATGTTCTGAGTGTGAGAATTTTCTGAAAAGATCAAATTTCTGTTTCAGTATTGTGTGTGGAATACACTTTGGCTAGGATGGAATATATTTATGATATGTTTTTACCTCAACGTAGGAATATTGGATAAAGTAAGTGTGAGGAATGTAATTACACACCATACGATACGCATCTGAATATTTGCTTTCGTCATGGATATCTTCGCAACACGATCGTTATGTAAATTGTTATAACATTACGATTGTCTTTCAGGATAGCGATATTCTCAATCTTGGTACTGGTAGTTTTTCATGGTGGTACGTAAACGGGCCAGGTTGCAAAGCCGTTTACAACGTGACAGAACCGGAGCTTTTTAGGCCGGCGCGTCCCACCAATGTAACGGACTGCGTACTGGACTACGAAGTGATCGAAATTTTACATGCCGCGACGCAATGCGTGTTAGGTGTAAGTTATTCATTATATAGAATGCAACGCTACGTTGTTGTAATGACCATATAAATTTTATTGTCGCGTTATATGGTTCGCCACGGATTCGCAAGTTCAAGTGTTTAATTTGTTTTTCCAGTTTATGGCGATCGTCGGTGGGATCTGTCTCAGTAAAGTGTTCCTTGAGGAAGATGACAGCTGTAAGTATATACGCGATTCAGCAATCATATTTTATGACTTAGCGATTGTAAATTATAAATCAGAATGAAAATGGGTATTTGGATAGTTTATATATGTTCAAACATTTGGTAAGATTGGGATGTGCATTTCAATTCTTGGAATATTTCTCAATTACATTGATGATCTCTCAAAATTGCTGGGTTATATGGTTTACGACAAAAGATGAGATGAGACTGTTGTTACTGTTTAAATATCATAGCAAGAGGAAAAAAATACATATATATCGTTTATCGTACTTTCACAGAAATTTGAAATTTTTTTATAATCAAAATGAACAGTTTAAATTACCTCATTAGCGTTAATTTAAAAAAAATAGTAATAAAAATAAGAGAAGAAAGTTAACTATTTCTATTATTATAGAAATTAAATGCAATTTTTTATGAGTAAGCGCTATATATTTTTTGTAGGGTAAGTGCTAGATTTGGTTTATTAATTTATCTCTCTGTTTTGTTAATTGGTACATATTATACAGTTTAAAATATAGCAGATGTTGTTTTATAATTGCACAGTAACAAAATTTTAAATTTTACACTCAAATCGATCTACTAGGAGCACATCCCTTTTAACTTTGATTAGAAATAATACTAAAATTAAAAATCAAGAAAGTATGTTTAATATTCACTATTTTACATTATGTATAAGCACACGCGATTATCTATTATTGCTTGAAAAGAGGGTTATCGGTTACAGTTGATTTCATTGGTGGATTTGATCCTCCATTTTGGTAAGTCCGCTTAATCATGTTCGTCAATTGCACGCAATATATATTTGTCCTATCTTTCGGCACGAATAAGTAATTATTCATAATTATTACAAGGCTACAGAATTATGTACACATGTATTGTGTTTGACCATACGGCAATGTAAATCCTGCATCTTGAGGTTTGGTATTCGTTATTCTTTTTCATTATTATCATTATTACAATATTAATGAGATAGAGAGATCATTTCTTTATCTTCGCATGAACGGAATGGTATTTGCGTCGTTTTTCATGTAGTACGATATGAGTGTTAATTTCTGCATAAAAATTTGTACAATAATTATATTATGCAAGACGTATATTAAGCAGACTATGCCATGTAACGTCGTTAGATGTAACTTATGAAAGTTTCGAGATCGAGGCGTTTCTTCTTTGTGAAACGTTTAGACGAAACGTTTCGACGTAACATAGATTTTCGAAATTACTTGTCGCATACGCACAATGCGCTTCTTTTTTAACACGGTATTTATTCTCTTATCGTTGTCGTCGAGCAAACCTCATCTAATGCAATCGATTCTTAAATAATATTTCAGTTGACTTTGTTGGAGGTGATGACTTTGGGTTGGCGGAACACACGGTGGTGCATCCTATGTACGTTAGCTACACGACTCTTCCCGCCTACTCTTACAAAAATTCCCAAAACACTTATCCGACCAGCACAGTTAGCCCACATCAATCCGTTTATCGTGAGTCGAGTTTTTCAAAAAAATGTGGGAGCGAGAAATTGCTAGGAGGCGGTTCCGGTCTCAGGAACGACACGATTCGTAGTAACAACAGCAGTCGCGTGTCTAATCGCGATTTTCCAAATGTCGATCATTCGATGGTCGATTACATGAGTCTGAACCACATGCAGCGGCCCGTGTCACCCGTATACGACGAATACGATTCGTTGGATAGCAACGCCAAGCTGCGATTTCAGAAAAACAAACTGTACTATCCGCACTCGTCAAGGTACAGTCCGGTCGCGCGTGTTAAATCGCGTTCAGCCGCGGCTACCAAGCAGACGAGAAACCCAGTCAAACCCCGTGTCTTTATCGATCACGTGCGCGATCTACCTCTGAGATCGTTCTATTCCGATCCGAAATTGGCCATTGATCAGCATCAGACGACATCAGACGAGCACGAGAGATCATCGTCTCAATCGAAACGAGACAGCCGACCTCTGTCCTTGTACGCGAGCAACGCTTTAGACTCGTATCGACTTCACTACACACGACTGACTGTCCCATCTTTCGAACACGATACGCAGATAATATCAACTGCGCCCAAGTCTCGCCCACGATCTTCTGTTATCTCTTTCAGCGAGAAGTGTAACGAAAATTAACTTATGCGAACTTCTTTGCTACGCTACCGCGTACTGGCATCTACGTGCGCGGTACGTGTAACATCATCATCATTCCTATACTTGCCAAATAGATAGAACAATTAGTGTTAATCCCTCGTAGGCATCCAATCGATCTCTGATCGATTTAAAAAATTAGGATCCACGTTTGTCTAACATTACGTAACTTGATTGACGATCACATATCCCTTTCGCACTTTTCTATCGAAATCGACTGGTATATCGAACTGTGTGTGTTCAGTAACATTTACTTGTTCAAAACAATAAGTGTATTGTGACTTATACACTAATTCATAAATGTTGCTTATTTATCTGTAGGATGATTCAGAATTAATTATCCACTTTCTTTTCACTTGTGTATTCTCTTCGCGTACAAATAAGTGCAATAAAACTTGAATCAAGCTGCAACGATAGAATTAATTTGCTGCAAAATTAATTTTGTCTTGAGCAAGCGACACCACAATGGCTCCTAAGCAGAAAAATCAAATGGTTTACTTACACACGTTTATTTGTACAAAAAGATTAAGAGAAGTGGACATTATCGAATCATTTTACACATATGGTCTACACGTAACACGTAGTGTTTATGCTTTATACACATAGATTTATTGATACGCCTTGAACATGTACTGTGATATATATATATATATATAGTGGACAGATGTTATTTAAGATATATAAATTATATTTATTGCTCTGTAGAAAGTAGGAGAATTGATTCGTTATAAACTTGTAACGCATTAAGAGACTTTATATTGCACGTTACGTAAAAAAAGTATATGGTAAAGCTGGTAAATTACATGGTTGAAACGCATCAGCCGAGCGAGAAGTTTTATAGCTTTTGTCTGACACCAGTTTTTTAAGTTTATATTTACATATATATATATATACATACGAGAAACTTTAAATTGACGGAAACCACGTACCCAGATTTCGTGACATTGTTAGAATAATACACCACAACTGTAAGAATACACTATAACTTTGATATATAACATAAAGAGGGGCTTTAAGCTGTTACTCTATATAAAAAAAAATCATTAGACTGCAACTTATTATTTTTATAGCTTTATTTTATAGTTGTAAACCGGTGCTATGAAGCTTTTTTTATGTTCTGTAGAATATTGAAAAAGACTTTAAAAAAACCATGTGTGACAATACGCGCTAGGATTCCTTTCTCTTACAGTAGTGCATGGCGTAGCTGTGGTTTCTTTTTTCAATTTAGTAGTATCAAGTATTTTTTTTTTTGTTTCGATCCCCGTTAATGCCTACGTAGTCTTCTTCTATATGGAACGAGTATAGTAATATACACAATTATATTGCATAAGTAAATTATTTATTATATGTAGAAACTTGAAGTGGAATTTCTTCTTTCGTGTGCGTGAAATTTTGGATATTTATACTTTTTAACATGAAATTCTTATATGACGCTTTGACGTTTCTCATATAAAGGACTGATGTGTTTTGCGTTATTATGATAATTTATAATGCGAAATCTGAAGTGATATTCGAAGAAAATATGTGGTGAGAATTATAAGAAATAATTAATTTGTGTTAGTAGATAAATATACATATTGATTACAAAAAAAGACCGTGCCAAAAAAAGAGAAATAAAGTAAAAAAAAAAATATTTAAAATTGTGTATATAGAGAACAACCATGTGAAAGTAAGATACGTTCTGAGAATTATATATAGACGCACATTTTATGTACTTATATATTGTATATGTATAATAAGATTATCTCTGATGGTTAAATGTAAATAGATCATCACAGAATTATAGAGTATAATAAAAATTATACATATTACAATTATTACATATTATTGCCGCACATACTCTTATATTTGCATTGTACTTATATTTGCATTACGTAAAAAAGACACTAAATTAAATATAAACAAATTTATTCTTCCTTATCAAAAAGAAGCAAAAAGAAATGTCAAACACACAATCTTCTTTGTCACTTCAGATTATAATATTTCGGATTAAATATATGTCGCCACATTATGCACGAAAATATCAATTTTTGTGTGAATAATACATTTATACATATATTTATATTTTTTTAAAGAAATGTTACTTAATCTTTTGTATTTAATCTATTGTATCGCGTTATTTACTTTGCAGTCAAGTAAAAACAATAAATATGCAATGCCGCTACCTGCTTGCTTTTTTATTTATTAACCCTTCACACTTTTTTCTATTCCTCATCTAACAACTTCCTTCTGTGCGGTATTTGGGAAATCTTTTTTATAAGGGTTTTTTCTTGTATTTCTTTGTTTTTTATAAAAAATCTTTGATTTTTTTAATGCCAGCAATATGCTTTCGCAGAAAAGTTAATTTGTTTCAAAATCACTACGTAATTTTATGTTAAAAAATAATATATTTACAAACTATAATATAAAAAATAATATATTTACAAACTATAATATCTGCAATTTTAGAATGCAAAGTATAAACTTTTACATTAATTAAAATATTTTTTGAGACAATTTTAGGAATAAGTATAAATATATTTAAAAGTACATACGTACATGTAATGAATGTCGAAATCATAACAGTAAAAAAATCTAAACAACAGTGACATGAAGTAACTAAGTTTACTTGTAATGAATTTTGTTATTAACATCTGTTTGATTACTAATTCTTGATTATTGCAAATAATAAAAAATACAGAAAGCGCCTTCATACAGATCGAATCAATCATGTATAGAGGATTTTGACAATTTATCCTTTCTGTTTCTTCAACAGTACGAACTAAGCGGAAGAAAAAGCAGCCGCGGCCTCTGTACAGCATCGAATATTCGCAACCGGAACCACCGGCGCAGGACGACAGCGTGTCACCGAAGCCGATGACGCCGCGACGAGTGAAACGACGCTCTGTAATCTCCCGTGACGGCACTCGTCGTTCGAGCACGCGGCGCAGTTCGGTACGCCAGTCCCGTCGCAAAAACCCAGTAAATCGCATTATGGACCATCAGGAGAGCCTGTACGCCAATACAACCGGCGCCGCCTGCATTGGCAACCTGACGAACCAGAATGTGAACTCGCTGTCGCAGAACACGCTCAATTACGATCGGATCTCGGTCGGTTGGGATCGTGACCGAAGCTCTTCAGCGACCGGAAGCAACAATTGGCAACCGGAGGCGGTGAATATGGCGGTGTCGTCATCGGTTCTATGGCCGTCAAATAGCCAACAAGATTCCTCCAACAACTACTCGAACACGTCGTCCGTCTTTCCAGCTGGTCAGAGCCCACCTGTCGATTGGGACCAGCACGCAACCAGCTCTACACGCAACCTCACCGACAACTGGCAAGCATCCGGTGGTGAACTCAACCCGATGCAGTGGCAAGGTCAAAGCAATCCTACGTTTCAGCAAACTAGCACGCAGAGTCTGAACGGGGAGGACCTGGAAGATCTTTACAGCAATCGACCGGCTAGCGCCAGGTCTAGTTACAGCAATTATCACGGTATCAGAGCGACACCGCAGGTGCCAAATCGCACCGACGTGGTTCGCCAGAGTCAGCGACAGTTCGTACTAAGCGGACCGCCCGCTTATCAGGATACGGTGATCTGACACAACTCTTCGGAAATATTAGATAGATGTCGTCTTGCCGAAGATAATGTCGAGACAACAAATTGCGAGCGATAGAACAGGCCTTATAGAACTTTCTACTATTTGTTAATCAAACACAGTACGAACGAGATATAATTAATTGTAGATAAAATGAGTGATAATGTCAGTAGAAACGATGTAGTCAAAACTGTACTATTTTTGATAGTGCTAATCGCACTTGCGACGCATTCGATTCACAACAAGAAGCGAGTATACAAACGAGGGTTTTTACACAGAAAAGCAATTTTAACTTGCATTAACTTTTTTTCTACCGTTGTTGATGCGTTCTCAAGTTGTTGTAGCCTCAGAGGGATAGTTGTATTATAACTTATTGTTTCGACGATTGTAATATCGTGTTCACACAGTGCTGACGTCTCAGAGAATTAATGGTAGAAAACGAATCGAGTATATCATGATTTCTGAGCTGATTTTAGAGCTTTACTTTCGACATAGTTCAACATGCAACAGATCTCTACTGTGTTGCATCGTTACAGTAAGAAATGTAACGTTTAAGGGTTTTAAGGAGACATACAGTCTGGTCTCTTTTGATTGTTTTTTGTCTCGCAATATTATTTTAAAACGTAATCCATTAGAAATGTATGCTTACGTCGTTACTTAATCTGCCGACTTACAAGAAAACCTCGCCAATCCGTAAATTCTGATTTTAATAAAACTTTTTTTTCCAATGTGTGTTTTTATGTGTGTATGTGTTAAACACATAAATTTAGGAATTACTCTTGCAATTAGTTTTGGTGTAGCACTAAAGAGAGATTTCTATATTTATTTTCTTTATTTATTTCTCTGTACACAAACACATATAACACATGGTTAAATAAAGTTCTTATTACAATCGGAATTTAGTTAGTGTAAGCGTTAATTGACGATAAGTTCGATGTGACATAAGACTGTTTTTTTGAAAATGATGTAAGCTGACTGTCGGTAAAATTAAAATCGATGCGCAGATGTAATAATGTATCAATGAGACTTACGTCACTTTTAAAGTAGACAGCTCGTTTATGATTATAAAGAAGGTTGCCTTTACTCTCAGGATAGATCTATTGGAGTAGTGACATATCACAAACAAACAAAAAATTAATGTACTTAAAATTTGTAGAAAGAAAACTTAAATGTAGACGAGAGAAAATTCTATCAGCACTAGAATTTTCTCTTTTTCACTTTTTGTCTTATTGTCAATATTTTTGTAAACACTTTTTCTCTCTGCCATCCTATTTATATCGTAGAATGAGAAGATTCTTTGTCGTGTTATCTTCTATGCATAAAATCAAAACGTATTATATCGCGTATTGTATAAAAATATACATTTATAATATCACCTGTATTACTCTCTTACAAATACTTTTTTGATTTGATTACATTGTACAAAGAAGATAATCGAGTTTATTTATCGATTTCTTCAAAGTGCAATCTACAATTTATATATATTTTTCCTACATATGACAATTTGAGATAAAAAATAATCTTTATGTTTTTTGAGATTTATGATATTTTTGAGAATTGATAATTTTTTTTTTTAATATTTTTACACCTAGTGTCTATTTGTTATATTCATATTCATTTACACGCACGTAATGTACACGGTTAAATATATACGTTATAAAGATAAAATATGAGAGAAAGAGAGACAGAGAGAGACAGATAGTCTTCCAATTGTTACAAATTAAATATCACAAATTTTAGAAGATTAAAATGCAATTTGCGTTGTGTGTAATCATTAACAAATGATAACATATAGAACGGCAATAATCACGTATTGTATAATAATAATCGCGTGCAATACTATTTCTGACAGAAGATAATGAATGTCATATAAATTCGAATATAAATTTATAAGAAGTTTGCGCAAGATGTATAGCCATGATATGGATTTTTTATAAACAAAAAACTTACATTGTTTTATATTAATTTTTAAATTAACTAGTTTTTGGATATGTATTCTTTACTTCTTATATACATATACAAAAAACTTATTACATCTATAAGTACGTCGAGACTTTTGGAGAAGAAGAAACATATAAACACACCAAAGTATTAAATATCGATATATACATATATAAGATATATCAACTGTAAAACTGCCTCATATCTTTTTGGATTTTTATTGTATAATCTAGTAGAATTAGTTCTGTCACTCTTTGAAAATACGTACTTAACTAGATTCATAGTTAATCTTGAATATTTCTAGAAAGAAGATAGAGAAATGAAAGAAAGATTTGGAGAGAGAATCTTACATAGTTTTATAATTATAATTATCACATAATTTTTAATCGGTTGCTATTTATAAATATAGTAATAGCTTTAAACGTAAGACAAAATTATATGCGATCAATAAAATTTTATAATCAACGTGAATTAAAACATATAAAATTATATTGATCGCAAAGTGAATGCAGCGTAATACATCACACTTTAATTTTTACTAAGATAATTTTATTCACATATCACATCTTATGGTTTTAAATATGACAACAATTTGTCGGTAATTTTGTTAACGACGAATCTTTGTCACATTTGAAATAATTAATTGTTCTATTAAATATTAATAATTAATTGTTTTATTAAATTTTAAAAGCGACTCACAATTCACACAATATGACAATTTTAAACTTAATTCGAAATTCACTGTTATCCTGTCATTATATTATCATGTAAGATGGAAAACAATAAACAGTAAACGTTCATTATCTTGCTTATTGAGAGTTTTTTAAAATCCAAAAATCTCTTATTATGTACATATATTTTCTTCATATATTATAATTATATTATAATTATATACGATTATACACTGTTTTTATACTTATTATTCTTTTTATTTAATTTTTAAATTTCTCAGTCTCTTTTTTCACTCACATATGTATGTCACACGTACCACATCATCGTAATAGAGAGAAATTAACGCGTTTGTGACGTGCGACGTATCAACATTATAATGCTTGTATTTGCATGGTATTTTTCCGAGATAACGCTTCGCGGTTCTGTGCTTCCTACAGGATAATATATTGATAAGCGTTTTGGCAGATAAACTCTTGCTACATATTTCCCGAAGATCTATACAGCAGCTATACAGTAAGACTTTCCCTAAATCGCGCATGTCTCACCGTTCGGTTCTTCCTGCCTTCCCCACGGGCGTCCGAACGACCCTCGGTGTAGTAGACGCTGGTCGTCGGAACGCCGAGGGTCGTTTTTCTTTAGCGTTGTCATCACACATAAAATCGCACGCAAGTCGTCAATTTGTAGACGATAACAGAAACAAACGTTTTGCTGACAATAGTTGGCACAAGTTCATAAGCGGTCGTGTAGTCACGAGTCAAGAAAATTGATACATGTCCATATTTTTTGAAACATGAATTGGTATGAGTGTGAGTGAATATCTTGAAGCTCTTTCAACGTGCCAAGCGGTTAATCGTTTCTAGTGCAACATCGATCAGAACATTTCAACCGTCGAAGAAGAGGAAAATTCACACAAGTGAAATATTTAACAAGCTCGAAAATTTCCGATTTAAAAAAAATTATTTATTTAATATTCTCTATTTTTTGACACAGTATTAGTGAATAAAAGTACAAAATTATTAGAGTAAAAAAAAAAATAGTATATTGCAGTAGTGATGCAAGGTGCGAGGATGTTGAAGATTGTGCGAATTGGAGCGAACGGACTTAGAAGATTACATTCCACGGTAAGAACATATTTTATCAAAGAAAATCTTTGAGAAGAAACAGCTTTCCTGAAATAATTTCCGAGAGAATTGACATTTACAATAAATCAAATGTCTACAAAGAGAGAAATATTAAACATGGCGTTTGCAGTTGTATTACGCAATAGCATAGTGACATGCTCTAATCGGAAACTCGATATTAATGTTCTTACTAGAGAGATACGCGAATGGATTGAATTAAACACCGCGATTCAACTTACAGGTTGGAGGAAACTCAAGTATATGAAAGATATCGCTCAATATCATCTTGTTTATTGCAACCACGTGGGCAGCTACGACAAAAATACTTCGACGCATCATAGTTTGTCATATGTACGTCATGTGTGCCAATAAGTTACTCAAATTAGAGTCCTTTGGTTAGCAGTTCGTGCACACAATAAGTTGTTGATTATGAAATATAACTCGCGTATGTTATGAAATATTATTTAACTATCTTGTTATACCGAGAGATCGTGCTTGCAACGGGTTGCAAGTGTTGCTGCATCTGTTATAACTCATACAAAACTTATAAAATATGTCCTAAAAGTTATAAGCATGTGTCGCGAAATTGTTTTACTTAAATCTTTTATTACACAAAAAGACACATGTAGTATACATTCTTTTTTTTTTCAACTAGACATTTTGCTAAATATCATATAAAAACGCGATATCTTGATGCCTGAACAAAACAAACACTTTCTGATCGCTAAGTATTGATTATACGCCGGGGCGAGAGCGATTCTTACGCGATCTTACAAGTGAGATTTCAAGTTTCATTAATGTTCGCGTACATAGAGTTTCTGCCAATCCGAATTAAAATACACGTAGCAGGTTTCAGCTTAGATCCACCAGAGAAGTTAATTCTGTCATTTAAAGATCAATACGCACAGTTGCGTGGCAACCAGAGGCGCGGCGGTTTTTTCTCTTTATGCTCAAAATACTTGAGTTCCATCAGCTGTTTCATTCGGTTTCGTTATTAAGATAAAATCTTCTTATGAGAGTAGATCGACGTACTAAAGTGCGATGTACCGAATCTTTTCTATAGAGACGTGCTGCTGTGCCAGCTACGAGATCCGGAAGTGCGAAATATCTGAATGCTGCTTTCGGAGCTGCCGGGGAACTAGAACGTTCTCAAACACGGTGAGAGAATCAGTTTTACTTGTAAAGTGTTAAATCAAACACGCGTAAATAAATACTATCAAATTATTGTTGCGATTTCACTATTCAATACATGTAACGCGCGAGTACTTTTTGAAACGAATACAACGCGATTGCCTACAAAAGAACGAACGACGTAGTATAACACCGAAAGATGTACAATTTTCTTAAAACAATACATAGCGACAAGTTGCAGAAACGATATGCAGAATTTATTTTTTATAAGTGGCATAGTGATTGTTTTGCAACAAGTTTATCGATCAATATCAATACAAGGCCACAACAATTTACTGACCCATCGCAAATTGATAAGCTGAATGTCATTATTGGTTATCATTTAAGCTCGTTCAACAATACGTAATCTTTTAGATCGTGGCTTGATCTGTCGCGCGAACGAAGAGATATCGCGAAATCAGGAAATGTTCTACAAACTGAAAATCGAGCATATAAGTGAAATATTGAACTCTTTTACAGTGATTGAGTTTTTGCAGTGATATTTATGATATCAAGATAATGGATGATTTTGAATACAGTGGTCATTACCTTAATACGATAGGTGATTTCGAAAAGCTGTCACTGAGACCGTTTCGGTAAGATTAAGTTTTATTTTTTATAATTAATATTATATTATTGTTATTTTAACAGAGAAAATAAAGATTACGCGTATAATTGTTTATTACAAATATGTTTACAAGGAGAGGTTTTTAATTATTAGTATTAAGAATTTATTTATTTATTTCTACAAAGAAATGTATTTTTATATTATTTCAACTTGGTTTACTTCTTATTTGAGTATATCATATTTATTATATATTTTAAGTATTTAATGTGATTTGTTTATTATGCAAGTTTGCTATTCTTGGATATATAAATATTCTCTTTACCGACCAGCTGACTACTGTCCCCTTCTTCTTTCCTCCAATGGAGCTGCTGTTTCCTAGCTCTAATTGACTCTAATATACCAAACAATTATTTGCCAATGGTCTGTATTTGTTACAATTGTTCGTTATTGAATGCAAATTGCATGTTGCTTTCAGAATGTCATCTGTTACAATCTGACGTAAAAAGAGGATACTATTTTAAACCTTTTTTCTCATCATCGTGGGGGGCGAAAAAGAGGGGATTTGTTTTTTTATCGGATGATATAAAAACTTCAGCATTCTTGCAATCTGCTGTCGCGATTGTGTAGCCAGCAGACTAATCTTCAAAGTTTCTAGAACACTTTACATTTATAAGTTTTCGAAATTGTGCGTGTGTGTGTGTGTGCGTGTGTGCATTGTGATATGAATTATTGAAATATCAAAAATATTATTAATAAAATACAGTCAAATATACGACAATCACTATGCCTTATATCGAGGCGGTCGATTGCGAGTCCGAAGCGAACTCGGATTCTAATCTACAGTTGACCGAACTTTCGGAAGATTATGTGATCAAATCGAAAATCGCGTGTTCGATCTGGTTAGAGAAGAAAAACGATCGATCGACCAGAATGTTGGCTCGCTTTCTTAGGTATTAACACAACCGTATCTATTAACAATTAAATTACGGCACTAATGCAGATTCATTATCTTGCTTTTCGTTACAGCGAATACAGCTTTATTCATGACAGCCACTATATGTAGTGAGTACCGTGTATTAAATGCATGGCGTGTGCGTGTGCGTGGCGTGTGTGTATGTGTGTGTGTGTGTAAATAATGTGATGCGAATAAAAATTTGTTATAAATAACGTGATAGCATGGATCTCTTTTTATCATATGTTTGACTTGCAATAATAACTAATATATACATATGTACTAATATTACAATACATATTTGCTCTTCTCACTGCTTATTAAAATAACTATTTGCACTTTTGAATATGTTTTATGTAATGTTTATTTATATTTGTTATTAAAACTTTTTAGAAAGCTATGTGTGTAAAAAAATATTTAAAAGTCGATATTAGATTATTTTCAAATCGTGCCACGTGTGAGTCACTTTTTATATAGTTGTATATTCTTGATCATTCGCAGCACTCGAGATCAAGATCAAGCAACAAACGCCGAAGACGTCCTGTTTGATATGTTTAAGAATGAGGAAACTGGTCTTGTATCAGTGGGCAAGTTTTTAGCTGTACGTACAACAAACATGATATATAAATGTACATACACGTAAACATTGTGTTTCAAAGTGATCCAAATTGACATGCGTGTGTTTTTAAATTCGTGTAAGGCTTTAAGAACGACTGGTTTGCGGAAAAACGATCCTCGACTCCAGGAGCTGTCGGACAATCTGAAGAAGGAACATGCGAAGTCTGGCGGTCACGAGGGTATATCACACGAAACGCAGAAATTGAACAGAGAACAATTCAGGAGGTGAGTTTATCAGACTGGAGTATCCAGCGCATGTTAATTTACAAGCGTACGAGGAAGAATAAAGCGCGATTTTTATTTTTACAGAATCATAAATCCTAATATTGTTCTGATCTCGCGAGCATTTAGACATCAGTTTATAATTCCTGACTGGTTAGGATTCACGAAACACATCGAGGATTTTTACTGGAAATGTAAAACAAACACAGAAGGCAAAGTCGCGTCGTATATACCGCAATTAGCTAGAATGAATCCGGAATATTGGGGCGTTTCCGTATGCACTATTGACGGACAACGATTTAATATTGGTGATACCTCGATGCCGTTCACTCTCCAAAGTTGCAGCAAACCTTTGACCTATGCGATAGCTTTGGACAGACTTGGTCAGGAAGTGGTGCATCAATATGTGGGTCAAGAACCGTCCGGAAGAAATTTCAATGAACTCATACTCGATCACAATAGTGAGTTTTAAATTGATTGCAATCTAAATTACATAATTAATTGAATAACTTAATTGAATTACGTAAAAACTGTACACTTGGAAACTGTACGCGCTACATGTGATATCGATTGTGCAGTTAATAAATAACAATGTTATTAAGAAACATATATACGATTTTTTCAGAGAAACCACACAATCCAATGATAAATGCTGGCGCGATATTGGTATGTTCGCTGCTGAAAGAGTTAATTAAGCCGGAAATGGGTCTGGCGGAAAAATTTGACTTCACGATGGATTACTTCAAGAGATTAGCGGGTGAAGAGAATCTTGGTTTCAACAATGCTGTTTTCCTGTCCGAACGAGAAGCGGCAGATCGAAATTACGCTTTAGGATTTTATATGAGAGAGCACGGATGTTACCCGGAGAAGACGAACTTGCGTGAGGTTATGGATTTCTATTTTCAGGTAAGAACTTATTTTACGCTTACTACAGTTACTACAATATACTTTAGATGAGAAATAAACTGCAAGAAAAATTTGTTTGTTTTTTATAAAAAGGATAAAAAATAGTTTTCTATATTTTATACTTATTCGAATTATTTTTATATAAAATAAATACAAATTTCCGTACAATTTCTATCTCGCGGCGTTTTAACACGCGTGATATATATAGATACATCTTATTTTTACGCTGGAGAAGGCGAACAAACTAGATTAAACCTCTTCTATTTTTATTTTGATGGCAGTGCATGTGCAAGTTACTCTGTTAATAAATTATTGTATATATATATTTTTTTTTTGACAAGTGCTGTTCTATGGAAGCAAACTGCGAAACAATGGCGGTAATGGCAGCCACGCTGGCAAACGGTGGTATATGTCCGACTACCGAAGAGAAGGTGTTAAAACCGGAAAGTGTTCGGGACGTATTGAGTCTTATGCACAGTTGCGGCATGTACGACTACAGCGGTCAATTTGCCTTCAAGGTAAAGTAAAAATCGTATCTTTATCATTTGTGTTAATCAACTTAAATTTAATTGAACTTATGCATATAATGCTAGCACTGTTTGCGTGATCGACACTTCAATTGTTGAATAAAAGCTGTGACGTAAAATTGAAGAAACGTATTTTCTTTTAGGTTGGCATACCAGCGAAATCTGGCGTGTCGGGTAGCCTTTTAGTGGTAATTCCCAACGTCATGGGTATTTGCACTTGGTCACCGCCCTTGGACCCACTTGGCAACTCTTGTCGCGGCGTGCAGTTTTGCGAAGAACTTGTTAGCGAATTTAACTTTCACAGGTAATAATTTTTTTTCCAATCGATTCTTCTCTCTTTTTCTTTTTGTTTTGTGTCGATTCTAATTCAGCTTGTTTTTTTTTGTTTTTTTTTTAAACCGCAGATATGATAATTTAAAGCACGCGTCGAACAAAAGGGATCCTAGACGACACAAATACGAGACGAAAGGTCTCTCAATCGTCAATTTGTTGTTCAGCGCTGCCAGTGGTGACGTCACAGCTATGAGAAGGTGAGATCTTTCAAAAATCTATTTAAACTAAAGACAACCTTACGTGAAGTCATTTGTTCAAAAGACTTATTTGTTGTAAAGATATGCAAGTTTGTGTTTATTACTGAGCAAATGATGTTCTGTTATTGTTTTGATTATTATTTCGAACTCTCATAATTGTAGACACCGACTGAGCGGAATGGATATGACTCTGTCCGATTACGACGGCAGAACCGCTCTGCACTTGGCCGCCAGCGAAGGCCATTTGGATTGCGTCGAGTTTCTCATTGAACATTGCGGAGTCCCGCATGAACCTAAGGACAGGTATACTCACAAGATTTGTGAAGTGACATCAAGTGTTTTAATTTTTGTTTTAACTTTTCACTTGGTATCACAGTGTTTTATGAGTAATTGATTCATTGCATAAGTTTCTGTTTTTAAGTAAACAATAAAGCATTTTTTACATGTAAATAAATATTGTTTTTATAAATTCCATCTTTTTTACTTTTTCTTCTCTCTCTCTATTTAAAAAAAAAAAAAATATTATATCATATTGCTTCTAAGTCTTGTATGCGTTTTAAATTCATGTTGAGTCTGACAAGTTAGAGGTGTACATATGTGTGTGTTCTATTTTTAGATGGGGAAAACGACCAGTCGACGAAGCCGAGACTTTCGGTCACATGCAGGTGGTGGAATATTTAAATAACTACGCTCTCGCTCATAAAACCGAACTGGAAAATAAGCAGAACGAGTGTATCGATGACAACGACTCTTGTCGCAAGCAACCGGAAACGGCGGTGCAATCACCATTACCGTAAACAATAAGTGACGACGTCTTTAAGACCGACTTTAGAATATCAAGAATGTATGTGTGTGCATGTGTGACGAGAACGAAAAAGATGCGAATTTGATCAATTTATCGATCTGAAGAAGAAGCAAATAACGTATCGAATGTGTAATAATTGCAAGACAAAGTCGGAAAAGTATTATGATGTAATATTATTTTTGTAAAATTATTTGCAAACTATTTTGCATTCGCTGGTTTTTTATGCCAATTTTATATGAGATTTTAAGTTAAAAAAAGACAATAATACAAAGCAATAATTTTTGTTAATGTGATTTTTACGATATATGTGACCTCCATGTATTTACACGTGATGTATATTTTCTTGATATATGAGTAGCGCGTGTGTGAGTGTGTTTGAGCACACACTCACATATAGCTTAACTGTGATTAAGATATGCAGTATGTTTTTACACATGCCATTTTCTTACCATAATTTAATGCAAAACCGAAGCAACAGCAAAAGCTTGGTTGTTCAATTTAATTTTTCGTTCGACAAAATTGATGCTTATTATTCTCTTTCAACCTTCTTTTAATTGTATAAATATAGCAATTTGCTTTAATGTGTGTATATAATGACGCATAAAGTACACGAATAACGAGCCGACCGGAAAATACAGATGTTATCTCGTGAAAATTCTTCGTAACAAATCGCATATTAAACATATCTCTCTTCAATTCTCTGGAGATAGTACAGATAGTATATCCGTCTAACAATTAGCTGTGTATGTATATTATGCTAATAATAAGAACTGTTTCTTCAAACTAGAAACATTTATTGTACTTGAGCAAAACACATCTGTGGAATGTTATTTTCAATATAATGTACACACATAATGCACATTGTATACATGTTATCTCACTTAATGTTTGAAACAACTTTGTATTTATCTTTCTCATTTATTATTCGTTGTTAGAACAAGTGTATGCTTTTGAGTCTTTAATTTTTACTTCTGTGAAAAATTTCAAACATTGATATGAGAGATAGAAAATGCTGTTACAAAATATATCTTTCTAATATCCATGCATTATATTATATAACACATGAAAATATCTATTTTTCTTTTTCCATATATATATATATATATATATATATGTATAGAAAGAGCTATAAGATAGATGTGTGTATAAATAAAATAATTCATCGCCGCGAGAACGATTGTACAATTCCTCTTCTAGCGAGCGATTCGTTAAATTATCGCTATATTTGTTGTTATTGAAATCGTGCTATTTTAATATGTCGAAAAATGCAACAAAGGCTGGAACAGTCAATTTCTCGCAACGCATTATATGGTACAACTACATGTTGCGATTGTGTGTTAAAGTAGATTTTCTTGGCAAAACTTCAGCGTATAGATTAGACAAATATTTTCGACGGATAACTGAAGTCGCTTTTGCGTAGACAAGAAAACCTAATCGTATATTTTTAAATAGACAAAAAATGATGACAATAATATTATTATTATCATAAGAGAGAGCGTATTTATATGACAGAAATGAATGTGCAATTGTGGAATTTCTTGCAGTGTGTTGATATTGAAATGTTATTAGGTCGTATTATAAATGTATAATTTAGTTTGAAAAATGTATAATCTCTTTTTTTATTATGAAGATATTTATAAAAATTTAGTTACAATTTAGCAGATTATACGATAATTTTGAAGTCAAAAGATACGTAAATAGGTGTATATTTTGTATGATTCTTGATAATAATGAATGTATCTAATGATTATACTATGAGTGTCAATTTTCAATTTTTATGATATATGTACTCATCAATAAAATAAAATTCAAAATCTAATGTACGAGAATTTTATTATTATATTATAAAAATAAATAAACAAATAAATAATTAATAAATAAAAAAAACTAAGAGAAAATATATTAAAATATATTAACATATTGATTAAAATTTAAGAGAAGTTTTCAACTGCGGCTCGATTTCAAACACATAACTGCACGGCTCCTATCAATACTCTCACATTGGCTAGAAAGCAAATTGGCGAAGTAGCAAAACAATAAAGCACAAAAAAATTAATTACCTATTAATTTTTTCAACCGATTATTGTTTGTACAATAAATAGAAAATGGTATAGTATAAGACTTCGGAATTAAAAGTGGCTATGTGATGAATAGCATAATAAAAAATAAAGATGCTAGTAAAACACATCGTAAACCACATAAAAAAAACTGGTCATGTATTAATGCAACTTGATGACGACAAATCAAAGATTCATCTTCTACGCAGACAATTCCTAAAAGAAAAAAAGAAAATAAGAAACAATCTATAGATCTGAATCAAAGAGAAGAATAATTTCTTTTCTTGAACTGATTATCTGGTAACAGTGCACTTCAGTTGCACTATTATTGCCAGAGTTGCGCGCTCCGCGCTCTTTGCATCACAAAACGGACGCGCGCCTGTCGCTACTACGTCCGGCTATTGTTACATTGAAACATTCGACATTATAACGTAAAAGAATCATTTTTAATCAGTAAAGGTGCCATTACACAGCGTGTGGTTAGGCGAGCCTGGCTCGCGACTTACCGCGCTGCGAGCCGTATGAATGAGCCAATGCGGCAAGACTCGACGCGGCGCGTTTTTCTCGCCAAATGTCGGTAAATGTGGCACGAGTCAAAAGAAACGCGCCATCGTCGAGGCTTGTCTCGTGAATCCGTTCACACAGGCTCGGACAGTTTGTAGCTCGTGCGCGTATAATTTCTTCAGTTATCGTTCAACGCTCAAAAAAAAAAAAAAAAAAAAAAAAGCTGCGAANAATTTCTTCAGTTATCGTTCAACGCTCAAAAAAAAAAAAAAAAAAAACAAAGCTGCGATTAACGCTCCGAATGGCGCTCGTACAGGCTCGTCGATTCGTATTTTATCAGGCTCTGACTGTTCTCACGGCGCGGTAGTAATTCGCGAACCTCGCGCCGCGGTGCGATAACTGAAGAAATTATACGCGCACGAGCTACAAACTGTCCAAGCTTGTGTGAGCGGATTCACGAGATAAGCCTCAACGATGATGGCTCGTTTCTTTTGAACTCGTGCCACATTTACCGACATTTGGCGGGAAGAACACGTGCCGCGCCGAGTCTTGTCGCGCTGGCCCAATCACACAACTCGCAGCGCGGCAAGTCGCAAGTCAGGCTCGCCGAACCACGCGCTGTGTAATGGCACCTTTACTGATTAAAAATAATTCTTTCACGTTATAACGTCGAATGTTTCAATGGAACAATAGCCAGACGTAGTAGCGGTAGGCGTGTGTCGTTTCATACGAAGAACGCGGAGCGCGACTCTGGCAAATAATAGTCCAACTGAAGTGCATTGTTACCAGACAATCAATCCAAGGAAAGGAATTATTTTTCCTAGTTCCTTGTTTTCGTTTCTCATTTTCTTATTTTTGTTTGGGGTTTGTCTTCGTGGAAGACGAAACAAAGTTTCGTCGTCAATTTCCAACTTTACATGACGAGTTATTTTCGATTTAGTACGAGAGTTGCCGCCATTTATTATACTACTCACCATTATTGTGTACCCTATATGAGGACCATCTTCTGATCCGCGTGTTTTTCTTTTTAAAGGTACATCACAATTCATATTTATCGTAAACGTAAGTTCTTCAGACGTGTGTTTCGTTTTAATTAATTCTCTTACCGTTGTCTCAATTTCAACAACGTAAGAACATTTTTCGTTGTCGATAACTATATTTTCAAACCCGACTTCCCTGAAGTCTTGTAGAACAACATCTTTCATTTGTTCTTTGTTAGCATTTGCCTGTTTTAATATTTTATTTTTATGATCATTTATTTCTTTCAAAGCTGTTTCAATTTGTTTCTCAATATGTTCTTGTGCTTCATGTTCAGTTGTTGGGTTGTTTTCTTTTTGTGGATTGTCCATCGTTCAGTCTGCTTTTTGTTAGATATTTGCGCTTGCTCTATCTTATATATAAGGTGATTTTGAGCCGCGAGCCGCAACGAGTAAGCGACGAAACGTAGCAATGAAATGGTTTTCTATGCTACTATATTATCGACTACAGTTGACGCTCGGACGTAGAGACAAGGCAAAGAGACAGAACGCGGCAACACGTTATTAGCAACGCGGTAGCTACTCCAGCAGTTCGCTCTTATAACTATATTACAAAGCAAATAACTCGTTGCCGCGTTCTGTTCGCGCCTACATTCGGCGGCGACCGTCGACTATAATCGACGCTCGTCCTCAAGAAAATTAAGATCATTGTTTCACATCTAGAACTTTGCCCAGAGCTGGATTTCAGTGAGAAATGTTTGAGAGAAAAGTTGTGATAGCAAATGCGTCGTACAAATTAGAAATAGAAGACGATGGGGCCATTTGCGTTGGAGAATAGAATCGAGCTCTTTTGTTTGTAAGAAAAAATTCCTGAAAAGATGATGAGGATTCGAACTCGGGAATCTCCATGTCCGTAGCCCCTGCACTCAGACCGCGAGACCAATGAGGCGGTCGACAAATGTAAAGGAATATACCGGTTATAACCGAAAAGGTGACTCATTACGCTAAACAACGCCATCTGAACTTAAAACTTTCTAACTAATAACAAAGACATGTAACGATTTACATTACCGATTCAAATTACGGTTATCGATTGAACTACGATTATGCTTTCTCGTTTCTTTCTGGAGTCGATATTGTAGAAATATTATAGATTAAAAAAATTAAATATAAAAATAAGATAAATTTAACAAAACAAATAAAACAATTTAGTTATATTTATAGTCAATACATATATATATATATAAATAAATTAAAGTATAACAATTGCGTATTTATAATAAAATTATAAAGTATAAAAATACATACTGATTATAATAATAAACACACATAAAAACAATATAAAAACTTTGAAAAATATTTAAAAATATAAAAAAGAAAGATCAAACATGGAAGTATGTATCAAATAACAATCAAGTGCATAATTATTAAAATATTTTGATCTTTATATATATTTACAATATAAGGAAATATTTATATTAATATTTGAGTAGTAAAACACAGCTAATTGCTACGACTATGTGATTAATACTTCTTGATAGTCCATGTAAAGCATTACATACACGCACAAGTTACGTCATTGTCAAGGTGGTAAATATAGTAACTATCATACCAGTAATACCGGAGTTAAAACACGTAAGCCGGTTGGATTTTCCTAGCCGACACCAAATTTTAGCTAAGCTGCATAACATAAAATGAGTCAGTAAAAACGCCCGAAGGTTTCTCGTAGGTTTTGCATTTGCATTCACTCTATACGATTCCACTTCGCAATATCGGCATTCCACTTCAATTCGAATGAGCTTGATTTATTTATTTTTAGAAATATTAAATCATATCTTTTTTTAAATACTAAATATTCTAAATATCTAAAATATTTGTGCAAAATACGTTTTAGAAAATTTATTAAAGACAAATTTGTTACAGTTGTCATTATATTTTCATAATTTAAAAACATTGTCATAAAAGTCTTATAATCTATTATATATATATTTAATATATTAACGTACTTTTTTATTACTATTTGTACAGAATAAGACAAATTATAATAGTTTGTTACTAATCAATCAAAGAAATAATTAAAAAATTTCTTTTACTTTGCAACAGTTTGCCTTGGTCACGTCATAGGAATTTCCTGATTATTACAAATGCAAGGGGAGTCCCTTATGAACCAGAAATATCACAATTTAAATTAATACTTATAAAACTAGTAGTTTATAAACTTGTTCAAAAATCAAATAGATTTCTGTTAACTAATCTTTATTGTAATGATACAGACGGAAATAACAAACTGCTATCACGAAGTCGAGATCAAGCATCATGTACACGAATATCAGCGTGTATTTGTGATTAACAAGGTCATCTGTATTATCGTCAAAGATAATTGTTTATTTTCCCAGCATTTGTAAGTATACGCGGAATGAAATCCAGCTCTTTTCGATCATGTAAGATTTAAATAATGATTCTGAATACATCAAAATTCCTTATTTCTAACAGAAAAATTTACAATGAGTTATGTAACGATATTTGTATCATCTAGAAATTAATACAATTTCGTATTAAGAACAATTTTTTACATGATATTATTATTAGTTTATTTTTTTCTTTTTTACGCTATTATAGTTTTTATAGTAGAGATAATATAATATATATTTTTATATTTTATACACGTGCGCTTTTATTACAATATTTACATTATATGTAAAAAATATATAATGATCTCTAATTTTTCAGAGAATTCATCAGTAATTATTGTACTTTGCAATAAAATACAATAAAATATATAATATATCATAAAAGATAATAATATATAATATATATATATAATTAAACATATACATGTATATATATACCAAATATATTGTTTAACTTCTAACATAAGAGATTAAGCCTCAACCAACACACAAGTGCAAATATAAAATATTTACACAATGCAAATTTCTTGCAATTGCAATCGAACGCAAACTGTTTTACGAAAAGCTGGTTTTATGAGTTTATATATGTTTGCGTCATGTTATTAAACTTTTACATGCAATTGTCAATTCGTCGAAAATTCGTTGGCTAGCAGCTACATTGAAGCAAAAATTCGTCTCGTCTAGCAGTCACATTGAACTCAACCTTGAAGAAAGAAAGAACCGGTATGATACAGGTTTTGCTAGAACCTCGAAGATGTTTTTTTTATAAAGTAACATTATTGAGACCGGTTAAACCGACTATTGATCAATTGATTATAATTAGAATAGTGGTCACAAGTTACAATTGACTAGTAATTAAGTATTTAATTACAACCATTGTTATCACAAGTTTTCTATTTTTTATAACAACATAATATTTAATTATAAGATAATTAAAATATTTGTTTACTTTTAAAGTAAGATTTAAATTATTTAAATAAACTTTAAGTTTGCAATAAAACCCTAACAATTATAATTATTCGAGTCATCGATATATAAAGAATACAAAATACAATAAAAAATTCAATACATACGAGATATATCATCTTGTACCTGTTTAAATTGCAAATGATTGCCACATCGCCAACAAAAGACTGTTTTGGAATTAATATTTTTCTTGCATCAAATTTATCATACTCGAGAGTGTGTAATAATTGCTAAGAATATCATGCCTTTATTTTTGAAGAAACATTTCGGATATTACACATGAAAGAAACTTCTAATATAAATGTGTAAATTTTTTACTTTTTATCTTCTGCATTATATGTAAGATATATAAATTTATATAAAAATAAAATAGCTTCTTGGTGTTTAGTACAAATTAAAGAAACTTCCATAATTAAAATATTTATTTTTTGCACAGTTCTGTCTCTCTTTCATATAAAACTTTATGAAATGTGTCACTGCTTTGCAAGATTATCTTTATAAAAACTTCCCATTCTAAATTGGCTAGAAATCCCGTAATAAATACGGTGTCATCTGTGCTACTAATCATTCTTCAATAGACGAGAAGGAATACCCCGGATCGAAACATGTAAAGCACTTCGTCGAAATAAACAGACCTTGATGGCTATAGCCAACGAGTGAACGGCAAAAGTATTGTCACTTTGTTAGTATTTCTAGTTATCATTTTAAAAGCTGATAAGATTAGCAAGCGTTACCAATGCGTTAGAGTCGTTAGCACAAAATGTCATGTTTCAAAAATTCGATAGTTCTCATTATTGAATTTTCGCGGAAGAAAGAAAAATAGCATAAAATTTTTAAAACCTGGCATTGAGGTGGCAACATGACGGAGAACGCGACGGAAACGAAAGACGAAGAGAGGGTCAATTATTGACCGACGTAAAATCCAGGCATCGCGTTGTATATAAGATGTTGATTTCGATGCGAGAGCTTCAGTCGCTCTTGACTCTCCGATCATTGAGTTATCGAGGTGAAACAGATAATACAGATAGGCTGTTGTAAGTGATAGACAAAGCAATTAGTTAATTGCAAAAAGTGAAAATGAGATTATTCAAGTGTGTGCTACCAGTGGTAGTGATACTGCTTTTGATTAATGACTCCTACGCTGGTGAGTTTCTGAATGCAGAAAATTTTTTATTTTAATTTAAAAGAAAAATTCTTTTCTCTAGTTATTCACGAACAATTTTTATGTCTGATTGTCATATAACTTTCTACTTGAAATATATTTGTAAAATGACTATATAATGCTTGCTTGGCAGTCTAAGAGGCGATCTCGTCATATATTCGTTATACGAAATTCAAAAGGTCATTCGAAGTACATATAATGTATACAATATCAGATAAATATAAATATTTTGTCTCTTATATTGTATTATCTTGAAATATATCCGTGATCTCTTCTCAGACTAAAAGTTAAGAATCAAGTCAATATACAGAATAAATTCAAAAATAAACATTTTTGAAATATTTATATTTTTTATATAATATTTGTATATAAATATTTTTTATATAATATTATTTTTATATAATATGTTATATGATATTATTTTTATAAGTTTTACAATATTTTGTACATTGTGCGAAGGTGTACTACGCGATCTTATTGGCGGCAGTGTGCTGAATCCTTTAAACTATTTGAAACCTAAAGGAACATCTGCTCAAGCTAACAGCAATGCTCAATCATTAGGAGGAGGTTTCAATATAGGACCAATCGGAATTGGCGGTGGACTTTCCTCAGCATCGGCTTCATCGTCCGCGTCAGCGACCGGTGATGGCTCAGCTTCAGCGAAAGCTAATGCTGATGCCAATGGATATGGTGGATATGGCGGTGCCAATGCAAACGCGCAAGCCAATGCTAACGCTCAAGGTAAATTTTGCATCAAATAGAAATGTTTTTACATATTTTCTAAATAATTTTTAAACAGTTTTACAAGTTATGCGATTAAAAATGAAATCGAAATCATGTTATTATATTTATGTAATTATTATTATTCTAAATTTATAAAATCCAATCTGTAAAATATATAAAAAATATATATAATATAATCGTACTTTTATGGAATGTGAAGAATATTGAGTTTCGACAATGTAGAAGGTTAAATTTTTGCTCGCTGTCATATTTGTCTCTTCTTCTCATCTCTTTCTTTTTATCATCGTTTCAGTAAGTTAACATATCAATGAACGATGATTGATTTTAACATAGGTTACGGCGGTTCTTTGGGAACCTCCGGGGGGTATCTCAGAGATAATGGTGTAAATGATGACTATTACCATCGCAACGTCAATCAGGTCCCCGTTCAGTACAGTCAACCGAGTTACGGAAGTTACGGTGGCTCTCAGTCTAATGCTAACGCTAATGCCAACGCTATGAACAGCGTAAATGGCGGAGCACTTCCGATTGGTTCCTCCGGTTCTTATTACCCAGTATCTTCAGGACCTAAAGTTATCGGCAACGCTAATGCTAACGCAAACGCCAACGCTGTCACTGCCAACGGTGGTAACGGCAGAGTAGTTCCAATCAACCCTTCCGAATCCTATTATCCAGTGCAGTCTGGACCCAAGGTCATCGGCAACGCTAACGCTAATGCTAATGCTTACGCGAATGCTGTTGCAAAAGGTAGCGGCGGTGTAAATTCGTATCCTGGAAAATATCCTAGCAACGGAATAGAGATTATTCCCGTAAACACACTACCGATTTCTCAACCGAATCCACCTGGTCGTCCAGTGCCCTATCGGCCTTACCCCCGGCCAATTCCTCAAGGAGTTGGCAAGGGAGAAACTGTGATACCAATTGTCATAGTCGAAGATTCGCCTGCGGTGCAACATCCGCAACATCCGCAATATCCACAATATCCGCAATATCAACGTCCAGGTTCTCACTACCATGGTCGACCGCATTACGGCGGGAAACCGAAGCAACAGCCCATTGAGGTCATCGTTATCGAGGAGACGGTGCCAAGTCATCAAGGTGATACTTCATACTTGAATACAAACTCAAAAAGTCATCGATACACTGGGACTAATCGATGACAGCACTGAGAATTTTCCGCACTATTTTTATGCAATTTTTCGTGGAGGCGGAGATAGCACATAATTATGCCTAATTGACGTCACATAATTATGCCTAATTGACTTATACGTATACGAAACGACACTGATAAATATTACGTCATTGCTGGAAAACAATATACGAGAATTCGTGGAAACATCTTATTTTCTTCTAGCTTTGTATGTGATTAACATATTTTGTATAATTCTTCCTGTTGCTGATGAAACAATATTGTGTAAAATTATAAAATTCACGAACGCATGAAATTAAAGATATACAAACCAGAAAATATTTTTTGCATTTACGTTGTTGTCGATTTAAAAGTTGAAAAACTTGTTTTCATCTTATTATATTTGAAAAGTCTTAATGATTATTTTGACAGACCAAGAAATAAGAATTACGTTAATGATGTACTCTTGCTTAGCTGCGTTTAAATAGAAAAAATACAAAACATCTATATATTCTATATGTAACTAAGACTGAGAGCATGAACTTCGTGACTTTCGTACCACACGTGACTTTTGCACCACAAACTTATTTAATTTTTGCACGTATCAGCATGTTGTCACTTTGATCATGTGCATCAATACACGTATATATGTATATACGTTATATCGCAATATATAATTTAATAGAAAAAAAAAAACAATAATTATTATACTTATCTGTTACAGCTAATGGCTATGGAAATAGTGGCATTCAAGGAACTTATCCTCATCAAAGACCATCTTATGGTGGCAATCCCTTCTTATCTGGCGGCGGATCAAACGCTAACAGCAATGCTAATGCTCAAGCAAGTGCCAATGCAAACGCCAATGCTCAAACAGGAGGAAATAGCGGAAGTATTTCAGGAGGATACCAACCACAAGGCAGTGGCCACTATCCGTCAGGTCAGATTGGCGGAAGCAATCCGTTCCTAAGTGGTGGGCATAATCTTAATGGCAATGCCAACGCTAATACGCAAGCCACTGCCAATGCAAATGCAAATGCCGGATCTGTTGGTACCGGACAAGAACCAATAGGTGCAAATAATCCGTTCTTTACTAGTAGCCCATCTCACGGTAATGCAGCAGGGAACTATCAGCCAGGTGGCACTGCTATCATTTTGAATGAAAAACCGAAAGGTATTCCTACTACTTATCCAGGACAATGGACAAATCCTAGCTCGCAAGGATCTGCAGGAGCTAATGCAAACGCCAACGCTAATGCTGCCGCTGGTGCCAGCGGAGGAGGATATGTTGGACCGGTGAAAGGGAGTCCGATTTCTGGATCAGGTGGATATGGCGGTGGATCTTCAGGAGCAACTGTTCTTGGTAGTGGTTATAATCAGGGATCAGTTAGTCCGAGCTACGGCGGACAAAGTGGAAGTTTATCTGGTGCTAACGCCAATGCCAATGCTGGAGCTGCAGGCGGAAGTAGCGGAATTGTTCTTGGTGGATCAGGAGGTCATAACGGAGGTTATAACCAAGGATCTCAAGGTCAAAGTGGCGGTGGATATGTACAAGGCGGTTCTTCCGGATCTAATCTTGGTGGATACGGTGGAGGTTCATCCGGTGCCAACGCTAACGCCAATGCTGGAGCCGCTGGTGGAAGTAGCGGAACTGTTCTCGGTGGATCAGGAGGATATGGCGGTGGATCTCTCGGANCCGGTGCCAACGCTAACGCCAATGCTGGAGCCGCTGGTGGAAGTAGCGGAACTGTTCTCGGTGGATCAGGAGGATATGGCGGTGGATCTCTCGGAGGTCAAGGTAGTGGTGGATATGTACAAGGTGGTTCTTCCGGATTGAATCTTGGTGGATACGGAGGAGGCTCATCCGGTGCCAATTCTAATGCTGCTGCAAATGCTAACGCCAATGCTGGAGCCGCTGGTGGAAGTAGCGGAACTGTTCTCGGTGGATCAGGAGGATATGGCAGTGGATCTCTCGGAGGTCAAGGTAGTGGTGGATATGTACAAGGCGGTTCTTCCGGATCTAATCTTGGTGGATACGGAGGAGGCTCATCCGGTGCCA